GGATGTTTCTCCTTGACCTACAGGAAGAGGCTGTCTACCACCATACTAAATGATAAAGCATCATTCATCCCTAAGAATATAATGGGTGGCAAAAACTCCTCTTACTTTAGGTGAGCTGTGAAAAGTCAGTAAGTTGATTATGGTGGACTGAACTCAAAAACAATTTTTATTTGATCATTGGGTCTTTAATAAGACATAAAATAACCTCCACCAATACAAGGTCGCGGCGTTGGGGTGTGGCCACGTCGCACCGGCCAGCCTGTTGCCATGGTAATAACAAACGCGTGAACATTATAGAGCAGAAGTTCCATGATGAATTAGTGCAACAGCTGTTTGACAGCTGTAGTGCCTGGTAGGCCTGGGCTGCGGCGTTGCCACTTTTGTCTCGCCGACAGCTGGAGCTGGTGGATAGTGATTACAAAGCTACACGAGGCTTCTCACTCGATTTCACACCCATCCTTGACTAATTTGGGCTGAATTTTGTTCAGTTCCATATTGATTGGTATTTTTTTACTATGACAAAATAATTGGTAGATTTAGCATTTATGCTTGAGGATCAACTATCAACTAAAGTCAATTATAAGACCAGGTCCGTCTGGGTTTCGTGAAGGAGTTTTTGTTGTTCACTGTGTTGTTCTTGTTTAACAATTCTTAAAACCAATTGAAAAAAACTATATGTCAATACACTAGCCTATATATTCTATATAATATAGCCTATATGAATAGCCTATATAATTTTGTCCTATGGTTCATTTTTTCAACCTATCAGTAAAATACATGTCATAAAATCCACATTAAAATACGAGAAATTATTTTAGTTTACATTATAATAATTTTGAATGTTAATAAAATAATTCTATTCAAGTTTAAATTACTTAAGTCTTAGTAATAGCTTCAATTAAATTGCTGTACTCACGATTGGTTCAATTTATAATGATTTTGAGTTACGGTTCTTTTTAACATTTTTTTTTTCATTGAGAAGAGCAGCTTAACCATATTTAACTGATTTTTTTGTAAAGATTTTTGATCTTATCAAGTGTTTTCCAGCAAGAATATGGCCATCGTGAACGTATATTTTGCTGAAGCCCACTTCACGTCAATTCATCGAGCTCTCTTGTACACTGTAACAGATTTTTTAGGTGAGATTTGCAGTTTATCACCAATTTCATGTAGAATTTTAGAAATACTGTATATTTTTCATAGATTTTATGTGGTGGCTACATATTAATGGATAAACGAGGGGGCCTGTGCAAGTTGCACATTTTAAATGGGTTAAAACTTTATATCTGAGGCAAAATCGAGATAATTTCATAGGAGAATATTTAAATTAGTTTCTATAATGTCGATACACTATAAGGTGTAATACAAAATGAGGTATGTCATTTATTAGTTTAAAGTCAATTTAAACCCATTTAAGCAGGTGTGTTTGATAAAAGTCAATTCCCACTTCAATGACAATGTCTATTTAGTAGGCCTATTTAGTGATTTAGGAAATGTCGTTGACTAAAGATACTTATACCTTCAGCGCTAATACAAGTCGAACCTGCTGGACTGAAACGTAACATCAACGTAATTCTCATACAACCTTCTGTAGAGTGAGACAATAAAACTAATTGTTTTGTCCTTGGTGGATTGCATTTAAATTTGAAAAATGCAAGCCTTATATTTGCTTTCGTACGGGAGGTCTCTTCTTAACTATGATAGTGGTTTAAATACCTTATTCATGCAATCCAATTGTTGTCTCCACAACTAGTTTCAACCTGCTAGGAGGTCATCATCAGGTGAGTACAAGGATGAATTACTTCATATGAAGGTCGTCAGTAACAGTTTTTTTACATTTACACAAACACACGACGAATAATAAACACATAGTGCGCACACATATACGGCCGATAAAAACATTCATGTTTTTATCGGCCGTATATGTGTGCGCACTATGTGTTTATTATTCGTCGTGTGTTTGTGTAAATGTAAAAAAACTGTTACTGACGACCTTCATATGAAGTAATTCATCCTTGTACTCACCTGATGATGACCTCCTAGCAGGTTGAAACTAGTTGTGGAGACAACAATTGGATTGCATGAATAAGGTATTTAAACCACTATCATAGTTATTATTCGCAATCCGGAGGCTACCCACACCATAATGAAGTCTCTTCTTAATTGTGTGATTTGGTACATACACTTACATAGTTATGTTATTTTGATTTAGTGTATAGTTCAATTTGTCTGGGATAAGTAGATTGTTGATTTCTAAAGAACATGGATTCAATAAAATTTCTTCTATCGTTCTATTGGTTTACGCTATCTTGATAAGACACGGATTGATATTCATGAACAAAAAACCCAAATCCACAAAGAAGTATGGTATAGTATAACAGCCCTAAGCTTCATACTTTATAATCCTTAAATACCTCACATTTTGATGGACTGTTACAGCTAACACTGGAGGATTGCTCGGATTGTTCATGGGCTTCAGCTTCCTCACAGCCGTAGAAGCCTTTTACTTCCTCACCCTCAGGATTTGGTGTTTCGTCGTCCGCAACCGCCAGATACCCGATGGGGAGCCTTCAATGCGTCCTTAGTCTCTTGTTATGTACATTTAAAAATAAAGAATTTGTTTTGTAAAAACTTGTCAATTGTAAACATGTAGGCCTACACATTATCAGTATTTCGAACATCCTGGTTGCTTTGGATATGGATACAACATAAGAGTCGAATCATTGACCATCTTGAGAAATGCATAGGCCCTACTCAGGTACGGTGTAGGAGAGCGAGCTGGTCTTGTGGCTGATCGCAAGACTCCCCCCCCCCAGAGGTCCAGGTTCTAATCCCACTAATCACCGCTAGATTTTATCCTAATTTCTGAAACCTCTAGGCTTAGCCTAAAACAATGTAAAATAACCCCGCTGCAGCAAAACTGCCGACTAAGCGAATATCCAATTGTCTGAATTTTGATTTTCAATTAAATCTATTTAAATGGCATTAGATTTACCGAGAGTACCTAGGTTTGCTGCAACAAGGAAACTAATAAAGTGTGTTTTTGGTAAAATATTAATAGCTTTGTATAAAAATAAAAAAAATTGCCAAGTTTGATAAAAATCTTACTATCATCATACTTTTAATATTACGTGAAAGTTTGTGTGTTTGTTTGTGTGTTTGTTGAAAGTTTGTTTGTTTGAAGTTCAATCACGCATTAATTACTGGACGGATTGGGCTGAAATTTGGCATGATGATGGCTCAAATTTCCGATTAACCCTATTCTTATCTCAAAAATCCTTTCGGGCTCCACCCCAGTGGCTCTGTTGTTCCCCATGTTAACCTTATGAGTATTCATATTTAAAAGGAATTTAAGTTGGTTCTATGATATGCAATAGCGTTAAAAAGTTATATTATTTACTAACAGGGTGCAGCACTGACTATTACTTTTTTTGCATTTATGACAACAGCTAATTTGAACTAAGCAGCAAAATAACTGTGATATGCAATGAGAACTATCAAAGTAGGATTGTTTACAGTGATTATAAATGCAATAAGCACTACTCATGGTTAATTTAAATTCGGCTTGGTATATACTTATAAATGCCAACCCCGTACGAAGGACAGGTACTCTGCTATAGCATCCCACGTATACTTGCTCAGGACATCCCACGGATATTGCGACAGGATATGCAAGATATCCCATAGTAGTCCTATGGTCAACCTGGGATATCCCAGGATATCCGCAGGAATGCATAATGTCCCCGCATATCGGTGGGACATCCGAGGTAGTCCTCAGGACATTCTCAGGACATATGGGACTACTATGGGATGTCCCTGGGATAAAGTGTGCTGTCTGGGTAGGATATTCATCCATAAACAAGCAAACTTAATACTTTAATAATTTGTAATGAAAATAGTAAAACTACAACATCTTACAGTTTTCTGCATATGAATAACATGGGAATTTGTAATTTAGATTTTTTGACTATAATCCAAAGTGGACTTTAATTTTTCATCATATATATAGCATGCATATGCATATAGCCAGTCTGTATGCATTTTATTTTCGTGGCATTTGACTACATTGACTCTTGGGTTGTGTTATCATGGACTAACAAAGTTTAGTGTTTAATATGTGGCTATAATACCAGAGGACTAGTATTGTTTTTCATGTAATAGTTTCATTTGCAAAGGTAAAATAGTAAAAATGAGTATAATTGGCTAAATAGTATAGAAATTGTGTGACAAACGCGGAAGGATATCCAATCAAAGGAAGGACGAGTATAAATTTAAATACTTTGGGCTTTGTTTGAAAAAAATTCCGACTAGGCCTACTTTCTAACAATTATTGCGTCGTTCTAAGAGACCAGTGGGTTTACCTTGCAGACAACTATATTCCTCTTGTCTATGAGTTAGTTGTCTCCTTCACCGGTCACCACCTCCGGTGAAATTCATGCACCGGAGGAATCGTCGGGTGCGGTGCGTAATACCATTGAGTCAATGTTAAAACACTATAGCACCATAGCCTTCTCTAGTACACAGAATGTGTTTTGGAGGTGGCTATGATATGGCACCCTCTGATATACCGGTAGGTCATTTTCTTGGACACCAGTCTGCATCTATCTTTTACGTTTTAGCATAGATAAAACATTAGCTTCAATGATTTCACCACAATCCGTACATAGGGAATCGTCATGGTTCATTTAAAGTATAAAACAAATACGTTAATATACAGGATTTTTTTATCATTTAAAGTTCATTGAATCCCAGATCGTCATAATTCTTTGAATATAACAAGAATCTAAAATCCCTTGCATTACAATTTAGTGGAGCGGGAGCGGCCGCGGATTATAGCTCAGTGGCCGCGGCTGCCCGAATGGAGCGAATTGAAATGAGTGAGTGTATGGACTCTCATGAAGTCAACTGGATTTGGGACTGAGACTCTAAAGTTTGGCTCTGGCTAGGCTGGACTGGACTGGAGTGGCTCAGCGGCTGGTGTTTACTTTTACTATTACCTTGCGTGAGGAGCCGCGAAGCCGGCGGATTGTTGCCTTTTATAATTGTTTTACTTTGATTTTGACTTGTTATTTTGTGAGAGAACACTTGTTTTAAACCTTTTGTCAGTGAAACATCCCCTGCTATCTCCATGGAAGGTAATTTTAGCCTTAGTTAGTTAGTCACCTGACAGACAATACCCTGTATTGGTGCTTGAGGTTAACCTGACTTATTTGAAATCAGGCGGTTTGACATGCACTGGTTACTTCTCAATGTTTATTACTTTTGAAACAGCTAACTAGCCTAACTACACTAATATGCTCATTAGTTTATTTATTCAGTTTAACAGAGTAGTAAATAAACAAAGATAACATCTTACTAGGCCTATGTCAATGTCTACTGGAGGTGTTTTCACTAGCTCTTGATAGTATGATAGTAGGCCTTTGCAAGTTATTACAATGACGAATCCAGGCTTCCTTACCTAACCCTGTTATTGGGCTAAATTAAAGCATCAACCTAGGTACAGACAAAAACAATATAACTGGTAACTTACAGTACGTATGAAGTTACCCCAAGTTAGTTTTAACTTGGGTGTTCTTGCACAAAAACGGAAGCATTTCAGGGGGTTAACTTAGTCAGGAACCGATGAGAACTTATTTGCGAAGGAGTGGGGGACGTGACGTCACTCTCTTATCTTGAGGGAATATCATTACCGCAACGATACAAAGAGAAGTCATCGGTGTTCGTGGCGTAGTGGTTAGTGTACTTACCCGACTGATATCCTTGAGGTATCCAGATCGAATCCCATCGGTGACATTAACTTTTGTCAAAGATTTTGCTTAGAATGTGATAAACTTACTACTTAACTGTTCCCTACATAGATTTTGAAGCATTTAGCCTATAATTTTATTTTATGAACAGAACTGTTGTTTTTTTTTTTTAATTAGTAGGGTAAACCTTTATTTATTTGAGTTTTATCTTGTATCTTTTTTATATCATCAAGTTTGGTTGGTTGGATTAGGTTATGACAGTTAAATTTTATAATAAAAATTTAAACAAATTTTGCCAATACCTACCGTAAGTTACAGTATGTAGAATTAACTTAATTATTAACTCAAGTTAATGATAGGTAGGTAGTAAATTCCTTTTCCCTAGCTAACTTTGTTGTTGAATATGGTTCAGATTGATAGTAAAAACCAGGTTTCTCACCTTAGTTTGTTGTCAAGATTTAACCATAGATGAAACATACTCCCTTAGTAGATTTGTCATCCTTATAAAACAGCTGAAGCCAATTTTATTGTTAGTTCTGTACGTCCAACTGTAGAGGTTGTGTTTTGTTTACAATTTGTTTCAAGTCATTTCAGTTAAATTTAAAACCTCATTTAACCAAATTATATTATACGATATAATCATAAACAATAACTGGTCTCCTAGTTATATAACCAAATAGTAAAGCACAAATCATGAAAATAACCCTAAAATAATAGAAACAAAATTTTGTCTACTCCAGCGATCAGTGTGGACGTACATGAACTAGACACAAAAAACAAGCTTCACAGTTTACTATGGGATGGAGTCTACTTGTGTTGCTTGGTCTATGATTTAACTTCTAGGTGGAAATATCATGTATATTTTGGAAACAAAATTGTCGTGGATTATGAAAACAATACAATTTCACTAGTCATCGGAATTTCCTATATTTCTGGGCTACCAAGGCTATAGGACATTAATCTAGCAAACATGTTTAAAAAAAACCTCTGTAGCCTATCTGATTACTTTTGTTATTTTGTTTAGCCACTCAAAATGAAGATTTATGGACTCTGTTTAAGTCGCTTCAGCATTTAGTGGAAAGAGCAGTTTGCAGTGAAGATGACTCAATTCTTGATCCACTGCAAAAAGCCTTGCAGAAACACAAGCAAAACTTCCTCACACTTTTGAAAAACCCAGTAAGTTATGCTATTGTTACTTAGTTTGATTTAACGAGGAATAAGCCTTAAAACTCTTCTTTATCCTTCTTTTAAAGCCAGATTTCTTCATCCTTTTCATTGACTAGGCCGATTCTTACCTAGAATTTCAGGTCAAAGTTTTCTAACTCTTATTATTTTCATAGCCCAAAGATGCCAAAGCGAGAGAAGAGCTGTCTCGGGCCACCACAGAAGGTATCCGTCTGGGTGGCTTGGCACAGCAGTTGTTACCCCAGGAGCTGGTTGATGAGATCATCATCATCTCCGATATGTACAACCTGAACGAGTACATGGTCCTGTATCTCTTGACTACAGGTCAGTACAACAGAGGAATATTTCCGTAACATATTTCCGTAGCCTTTAATTACAATAGTTCTCAAAGAGTGCATAGTATTACACATAATTAGGGCCTACATAATTATTTGTAAAATGTTTTTTATTTGGATTATTGCGAACATTTTCTGTCACAATTGGTAAAAAATCTGAAATCTGATCTTGTCCTCTAGGTGAGGAAATAGGCCTACCCAACCTCGATAACAAGACTGGGAATTATTAAATGAGACTGGTTATCAAGGTTGAATTCTTATCGAGGTTTGCAATAAAATGTGAAAGGGGTAAAATAAATTCAAAAGGGATTTGAAAAAGACACGTTTCATCAAGGGTGACTTTATATTAAGGTTCTTTAAGTATTCCAATGTTAGATAAGTACCTAGGCCTACTCGAATAGACCTACAGCCAAAGTTGGAAGATCATAAAAGAAAAACGATAAATAGAACTGTTGCTTATAGGCCTAATAATCAAAACGAGAAACAAAAAAATCCTGAATTAAATTCATGATTTGTAGATCTTAGATTTAATTTTTACGATGCTGACACAGCTGGTGTGTGAATTTAAGGGAATGACGAGTGAAAGATAAATTGTAAGATGAGAGCCTTTTTAATGACCGAGATCAGCTGGGTCAATCCAAGGCAGGAACAATGTTTAAAAGCCCAACGATCAAGGACAGCTTAATCCATTGATAATACAAACACATGATTGGCAAAGAAATGTCCACAATAATCCTTTTAACAAGGTAATCGAGAAAAACTTAACTTCAAATAAGTAGTGTAGGATTTATGAATACCATTAGGTTTTTGTCCCATCTATGAAAGTGTATATAGATTTTTAATGTGTCGTGTTGTTTGCAGCTCAATCACAGATGGTGTACCACCCTGGCTTAACCCGAGGGTTGGTCGCAGTGCTATTGTACTACGATGGTCGCAAGGCGTTGGTGTCAGCTCTGCGTATGCTGATGCAGGCAAGACACGGAGCTTTGTGGACGGTTGATGCCGCCCCGGAAGTCACTCATTTCATCACTGCGTACACTCGGGACCTACTAGACAACGATCTGATAGTCAAGGTTCTTGGTGCGTGTTTAATTCTGCAACCAAACAGATGTTATTTTTTTAGACGAGATAGACAAGTTATTAGAGTAGTGGACTATTATGTAAAAGAAGATGTACAGCAGAAACTGAAAAAAACATGATGCATAGGATGGATAGTGCTAGATATGAAGAAAATATTTCTTTTGTGCTTCTCAAAATTTACTGTTTGGATATCGTTATGATTTTTAAGTTAAAATTCATTGTAGGGCCTATGTATCCTGTGCAAAGTTAATAAATAAATCAAATAATAAAATAAACAAGTACTAAATAAATAAATAAGTAATTTTAATAAATAAGTAGAATAAGAATATTAGAGTAACTTTTACAGTTAGGGGTTGCGTTGTAGAATCGAGAGAATAGCAACTAGCTTACCTTGAAAAAGTACAGGTAGGCCTAGGCCATAGGCCTATAAAATACAGAAGACATGCAGAAGTATTTTGCCCCCTGGGATACTTTGCAAAGTGTAGAAAAAGTGAAAGAGTTTACCAAGTTTGAGGCTATAGCTGATGTATCATCCAGGTGTTTTATCGTCGCTGGACCTGTCCAAGGAGATGGAGCTGCTGCAGAACAACCGAGCGCTGGGTGGTCCTCGTCATCATCATACCGTAGTCAACCTGTTCCAAGAGACCAGGCAACTACTGGCAGACATTGTGTATCTGGTGGCTGCTCAGAGTGGCTTGCCTAAGGAGCCTACAGACTGGTCAGTCACAGTTTTACATTTAGTTTTTCCCATACGCTAAGGGTATGCTGAAGCTGTACATAGTGGGAGGGGTTAGTGGTTAAAGTGCTTGTCTGACAACAAAATGGTTGGTAGTTCAGTCCTGAAAATGTAAATTTTTTGGTGATTTCATCATTCTTGATCATTGGGTTTTTCATAAATGGTGCTTGGCTAAAGAAACAAGTCCGATCATTTAGACAGTGAAAAAGACACACACAGATCATTTCACCTGAGATTATTTGTACCTTTATTTTTCTTGACTTGTATCTAAATGTTTGATGATTTGTACTTGAATTTCTGTTCACTGATGCAGCCTGTTGGAGCATCTACGTGGATGGAAGCCGCAGACAGATGCCAGCGGAGGAGTGGATGGTGTTACGCTCTCACTACAGATGGCTCTACTGTATGTTCTGGATGTCGGAGTACTGCAGCGTAGGGAAGACGGTGAAGGTATTGTTCAATTTGTCTTTTAATAAACAAAAATTTTCCCGGAATGGGAGTTGAATGGATCTTTAAAAACTATCTAGATTTTTTAAAGATATACTGCCTTCAACAAACACTTGAGTTGTGATAAAAATGTCAGCCAATCAAACCTTGAATTGTAATACTTTATTGTGATTTAGTGGACAACAGATTTTAAGGCAAACTAGTGAACGTCTTCCACGGTCATTGCACCATTGTGAACATCCTACGTAGTCACAGTAAAATTGTGAACATGAAGATGGCCGTGAACTCAGATTTTCTGTGACCTTTGCTTCCAAAGGTCACAGAAAATCTGAGTTCACGGTAAAATCTTAAATACCTTCTGTAGCCTCGGCAAAATCGATAACGCCACCCACGGTCACGCAGTTACAACAAAATCAAGAACGTTTTTCCATGCTCACAGCCAAAAAATCACAGCGAAATTATCAAACATCTGTGTCATAGCAGAACATCTTCCGATCGCAAACATATTCCGCAGTCATGGCAAAATCAAGAACATCTTCTGCAATCGTATCAAAATTGTTAATATTTCCTTCGGTCATGGTGATATTTCTAAGGAAAGGAACCTTATCCTGATGATAGGGCACTGTTCAACCCACCTTTATGAACAAAGTCTACTATATGCTGGGATGAGGCTGTACAATGTGCTGCCTGCAAGAGAGCCTTTTTTTTCAATTGTAGATTATCATAACACCCCTTTAGTTTAGAATAGTTTTCATTCAATTTTGTTAATTTATATTATCTTCATGTTTACTTTTTTATTGTTTACATTAAGATATTTTCATTCAGAGAATGCTATTCTGTAAGTAGGTACCACCATATGTAAAGAATCTTACGTTCAAATAAAATCTATGACTACCCGACCCAACCCAAAAATATCAGGGACCCAAAGACACTTAGTTGAAAATTCAGCTTGTCAAATCACTACAGTGATTAAAGTATGTTTTAATGTTTACAGAGCTGTTGGAGAAGATGCCCCTGATCAGCGACCCAAGGTTCATGCCTGCGTTGCTGAGAGAGTTGTCTCCGCGTGACAGTGAGCGTCCGTGGCAGTGTGAGGGACTCAAGGCCTTGACACAACTTACACTAGCGGTCACGTTGACATCGCTACGTGTCGCTCCTCCCAACATACAACCTCAGGGTAAGAGTCATGCAAGTTTCAAAGATGGTTAACCCATTTCTATTCTAGAATTTTTTTGTAATTTTCTGAAAAATGCTAGACTTATTTCGTCCGAAAAGTGCTAGGCTTGCCACGGGGGCAAAGTCTAGTGTCCGAGGGAAAAATTGGTAAACATTTTTTATCACAAAATCCTAAGGAACGATATATTGGACCTCGTTCGTATGAGGAATCGAAAGAAACCATCGCTGTTTCAAAACAACAACCGAGTCAACCAATATGCCCATTTAAACTCACACAAACGAAAGTAGCGCCGGCACGGTGACAAAATATCGTCATTTAACACTTTTCAGATAAAACACAAACTTTTAAATATACAATACAGAAAACATTAGGCCTACGGCCTACGATCTAAATAACAAAAATTATATTACTGTAGATATAAAGTGAACAAAAATGTAAACAACAAAAAATACCTTCTATTATTATTATTATTATTTTATGGCCAGCATTGGACCACTTAAGTCAATATAATGGTTAGATTCTTTTTAAATTCTGTCTCTTCTTCTTGTCGCCCAATACTTCTTCATTCTTTCCGACCGTTGTTTTCTTTCTTCTTCCAAAACCACTCTTCCTTGTCTCTGATTGTTTGCTCCTATTGGCAGGATGATATTTCTGTCTTTGAGTACTGCAAGCGCCTCTGACTTATTTTCCAAATCTTCTAATGATATTTTCAACCTTCTCATGTCCTTAATCTCTGTAATCCACCTAAAGTCACTCTTGCTATTCCACAACTTGTCAATTATTTTCTTGCTTATTGTATTTTCCGGTGTCCTTAAAAGATGTCCAATGAATGAAATTCTTTTCTTTTTAATTATACTTGTCAATGGCTCTATTTCCTTATATACAGTTTTATTAGAGGCCAGTCTCCAAACTCCATCTTTTTGATATTTTTTGTTCATACATGTTCTGATGATTCTTCTTTCTATTTTAACTATTTTATCTATTGCTACAGTGTTAGTTGTTTTAAATATAGTTTCACTTGCATATGTTATTTGTGTTATTTAAATACCTTCTATAACAAAGGAAAAAGGCAACATAGGCAGGGCCTGTCCGTAGACTGTTGCGGTAAAGTTAATTTTAATGTAAGGTAACAAAATGTATATGCCTATATATCTATCGTCGCATAGCACTGAAAGGGTTAAATAACAACCAAAGGTTATGTTAAGTGAATGGATATGTAGTTTACAACTGACTTATCCTTTTACCCACATGTAAATATTTGTGAATGGTTCGATGACGCCTACTAACTTGCTACCTCAATTAACCTGTGTAGCAATATTTATAAAATATTGTTATTTCGTTTCGTACAAGTATCATTTTTAAGACTGCAGACAGTTTGAGTAGGCTACATTAAGAATTGTAAAATAGATTGTTGTATACTGTTGCAGTTTTTCTTGTCTTTAACCATACTTTAATGTTGCAGGAGTATATGAAGAGGATGAAATTTTGATCGACAGTGCCATTAAGATGAAGGTGTTTCAATTTTTAAACAACTCATTTCTGTTAAATGAAACTATCTACAAAGAGGTAAGTTGTATGTATTGTAAAATAAGTATTGAATATATAATACGTACTATAGACGTAATATATAATACGTATATAGACGTACCTTAGTCCCTCTTCAGTCTTAAATTAGTCTAGGGATGACTAGTTTCGAGTCAAAGACTCATTATCAAATCCTTGTCAACATCAAATTGGAGTTAGTCATAAATCTGACAGAAGTCTTCATCAATATGTAATTACAGTTCAGCACATAAAGATCACAATTTAAATACATTTAAAACACATCTAAACACTAAATACATTTAGTCCGGGTACATTGATACTTGGACAAATTTAGGTAATTTATAATTTTTCCTAATATTTTCAGGAGTTTTATCTGAGAAGGCTGCACAACCTACTGACAGACTTCATCATTCAGATGCCTCTGAAGCTGAAAGAACTCAGAAACAAAGCTGAAGACGCTGCTAAAACTTACAACGCTTATGTTCAAGTAAGTCGAATCACAAGGGATACTGAATGGGGTTTATTGACCTTTTTAGTATCCAAGCAAGTGGCATTTTGTGTGTACAACACTCAAATGCTTCAGAAAAAAGCTTTCTGTCTAATTCCCTCAATCTTTTTATGGACATCCAGGTATCAGACCGAACGCCTTCAAACCATAGTCCAAGACACAATTAATTACAGAGCAAAATTGTGCACAAACGCACATATTGGAATCCTGAGCTTGTGCTTCGACCACATACTGACGTCTGTATAGATCAGCTAAGTATATCAGCTACAGAGCTGCAAATGGCGCCGTTCTGTTCACAAATGATGCCAGTAAGCTGCAAGGAGCCTCATTTGGTGTACATGCTAACTAAGAAGCAATAAGGACAAACGGCTCTTTCTTAAAAAGTGACTCGTATTAATATATGTTGGTGACAAAATGATACAGTAATACCAGAGTGTATTCGATTTAGTAATATATTATAAATGCATAAATATTAAAACATTATCTATAAACTATTTTTGAAACTTTAATATTTTCAGGAAGGACTAGACCCACCAACCAATCTATCCCAGAGTTATGAGCAACTTCTTCTCTCCCTCTCCCGTCTGTACGGTACAGACCCTCTCAACCTACAACTGGAGCTGGACTACTGGTGTACGGACGGAGCTCCACAGAACTACGCTTATCGCATGCCTCCCCGACAGGTGATAGTCTCACACCAGTTGAGGATGTTGTACAGAGAAGTTAGGTACAGAGGAAACTCGCTTATGGGATGACTGTGCGATTTCAGCTCTAGTATGTTGTGCCGGAAATATACTTGTGACAAGCCAGAAAGAGCCTGAGTGGCGAGCACTGTGCGGAAATTCCTATGGCATAGGGTCATCGTCCATTATGATTTTTTATCTTTGACAAACAGCGGGGGGTGTTGGACTTTGTCCTAGACACCAGTGGCTAGTGCTAGACACCATCTAAGTGTACCTTTGAGTGTTTCCTCTGTTCGTTACTTCTCTGTGGGTGTTGGTAGCTATAAGCTGGAAAATAAAATATCCCTGCTGCAGCAAACCTGCAGACTTAGATTTCCATTTGGCTAGTTGGATTTTCACCAAAACATTTGCTGTAAAATATCACATTCGTTCTTTATTTAAATTTTATTGGGTTTAACAAGTTCTTAGGTTTGCTGCTACAGGGAAAGTAAAAAAGCGTGTTAAGAGTGAAATGTTATTAGTCTCATATGAAATAGGGATGGTTCGGTTGTTGGGTTTACCAGTCGAAACCAGAATTGACATAAAAAGTCGGTTTCAGTTTATCAGTTGTTGTGCAATACTTTTACCGTGATAGCAGTAATAGGTTAGGATCACGTAAAAGGACTATTAGATTAATAATTTATTACTAGATTAATGCTGCGATTACATTACCAACAATTTTTTATCAAGATAATAATTCTTCAAATTTTTAGAGTACTCAAGGTTGGGTGGAGTAGCCCCAAGTACTCGTTAATCTGAGTCAACTAGTTCAGCTCAAGCGCTGTGCTGCTTACCAAGTCTTTATTTTGGGAAACTAGTGAAAGTCACTCAGAGCAAGGGGGAAAATCTCCTATTTGAGAGAATGAAGGAGATCTTGCGTCTTTTTGCAGTGTGAGATTTTGCCATGTCTGGCATTGTCATGCAAAAACAAAGTTTTGAACCTTAACTTTAGTTTAGGCTAATTTGAAACTGAATCCACCATTTCCGAACAGAACTTTCATTCCTCATGTTGTTTCTGTGCACTTCACTCAATTCATGATAAAAGTTAATGGCCATCAAAAACTGATTGCTGAACACTAATTGAGGAGGCGAACGAGTGTGTACCCAAAAGTGTGCGATCAGCGTTCACCTATCATCATCAGACGGAAACTTTCCTTACTCCCTGAAATAGCCCTTGTATTTTATTTGAAATATCATGAAGATTCTAATACCCTGTTCCAATCATTTCATGTCATGTTTGTATTGCTTTAGGTGAGCTTGTACAAGTTTGTACGTCAGAGTGGAGAGTCTCTTCCGCCAACGTTGTTTGTTCCGTACATGAAAATGCTGGCATCCCTAGCATCATGTCCTGCAGCAGCTAAACAGGCTTACCAACTGCTGAAGACAAACCAGCCGCCACAGTCAAATGTTGCCTGGGATCATTTTTTTAGCTCGCTAAACAGGTATGGAATCAACTTTAGGCAAATTTACATATACTAAAATCATTATTTTGTTTTGTTATAGGAATCTTATATACTAAAAAACGTTTGCAAATCTTATGACAGCTAGCCTGACCATACTACAGGACCGAATTACACGTGGTTGGTACCAAATGAAAGATATTTTCCTGTAGATTTCCAGAATCCCTTTATAAATTATAATAGGCTCAAGTTTTGTTCAAGGAAAAGCTCCAGGCCAGGATTTTGAATGTAATGTAGAATAAGGAGGATAGCATAGCAGCAGCTAGCAAAAAAAATGTGTCTGTATACTTGACAGTCCCTCGGGGGATGAAATATTGTGTGTACTCTTCTGTTTGTTCTATGGCCTACTTCTACTTCTTCAAGGTAAGCTAGTACTATCCTCCTTATTCTACAATTTCTATACGTCAAGTAGACTCCACCTTGGTATAAAACCTACAAAAGTACAGTATTGGTACTATACAAAATAATTGAAGGAGTTTAAACATCCATAAAGAACATAAACAGCACTTTACAAAAAGGTTGTTACTTAACTGTTGACATTGCTATGGACAGGCTTGCAAATTCTAGATCCCTGAATCCTAGGACAGATGTTGAATTATACATTCCTGAAATTTATGTTCATCATCATTACTGTCTGAACCTAAAAGATCTGCACTTTAAGAATGCTAGCGTACTTATAGTTTACAGTTCTTCTTTGTGACCTTCTTCCCCTTTCAAGAGTTTTATTCTGTATACTTTCACTCAAAAAACTGCAGATCACAGCATACGTTCCGCAACGTTTTTAACAAGTTAAGCATGTTCCACTGCTCTGCTGAATGATATTGTGTGTGTAGTGTGTACATGTGTTCTTGTTGTCAGGTACTACACCAGTCTAAAGCAAGAGCTACCTCCCATGTCGGACACGGTGTACCGCCACCGTAACTACCCCAAGGTGATCACCCCCCTTGAGATTCATGGGCTGCAAGCGGTGTTGCTGGTCATCAGGACTGTTGCTGGTGGGTAGAGTCAAAATGTTAATTGAGAAACACAAAAAGTTTGAGTTTTTACATGCAATTTGTAATAATCATTGTTTTCTTCAAACAAGTCATAAACGAGTTTAATTTAAGTTTACACGTAAAGAATTGTTTAACGAGTTATGTTTAGACATTGTAATATTGTGCAATAATTGGTCTATTAAATAAAATCCATTATAATAATTTATAAGCTTCAAAAGCTTCACAAGACTTGTATTCAGCCAGTTTTGTGTTTACTCCATTGCCATTCATAGTCTAAAATTTCCTCTTGGCAGTAGCATTCCCCTTCACTTTCAACTGAACCTAATCTTATAAAATATACTATCGGTACTGGGTGAATTGTGTATGTGGCAAAAGTTACTGTTATTGTCTTCAATTTGGAAATTTATAGCTTTACAACCATATTTTAAAACATTCTCTTTTTTCAGTATTTCTTTTGAAACACTCCGTACAACCTTTTAGCCGTTCATCTAGTCAAGCAGACTACTTTACTTTAATAATACTTTTTTTTACTGAAATGGCGACCATAAGTAGGTAGGTTTTTTGCCAAGTATGAATGGAGATGAGTGATAGATGGATAATACTAGGATAATAGGAATATCATCGTCAAGTTCTGCCGTCGACTGGATATGGAGGAGATTCGTCGCAGGGCTATCAAGAAAGGAGGATTTTCTGCGTCTAATATAGGATTTGACGTCAATGAAAAAATTTATATAAATCTAGCCATGACCCGTGAAACTAGACTCCTTTGGTCTGACACGCGCAAGTTTAAGAGTGATAATAACTTTAAGTATGCGTGGATAACCAGCAGTGGAAAGATATTCCTACGTAAAACTGATAAGGATGGCGCTATCTTAATTGAGGACAGATCTGATTTTCCCAAATTGAACGTGCGCCCTGTGTCCTCCGCCTCTAATCATCGCACCTCTACTATCACCGGGACCGATCATCGCAGCCATACCGTCACAGATACCAGCCTAAATACCAGCATTGTTACCGAGCCCGACCCACACACCTCTAGTACCGCCGAGACCGCTACCGACCTTCACACATCTGTACCTCCCGACGCCACTAATGCTGCTGTCAACACTACTGCTCCTAATGAACTCACCTAAACCGATCTGCATTAATATGTTGTATGTATACTGCTGTTGTGTTCCATGTTTATATTTATATCATATTTATATTTCTATTTACAGTATGTACCTACTTGGCCTCTTATTTTGCTTTCATAGTTGTTGTTTATTTATTTATTTATTAACATTATTAGATGGGGATTAATACTCGACACTTAAATATTTACTATCAGAATGTAAGGGGTCTTAGGACAAAAACTTTGCCTTTTAGATTGGGAATAATGGACAGTGGTTTTGATGTTGTAGCAATTACAGAAACGTGGTTAAATAGCTCTATTTATAATTCTGAACTATTTCCTGCAGGTTATGATGTATATAGAAGGGATAGAAGTGGAGTTGGTGGTGGAAACTGAGGGAGAAAATTTATGGATTAAGCTGAGCTTTTCTGATAAAATTACAGTAATTTTGGGGTTAGTTTATTTTCAACCAAATAGTCAAATGTCAACTTATAAGTCGTTTTTTAGTAAGCTTGATTCATTGAATTTGAGTAATGAACAATTAATTATTTTAGGGGACTTTAACCTTCATATATATGGTGAAAACTTTGATTTGTCTACTGGTAATGAAATTTGTAAGCAACTTATGTTTTTTTGTAATTTACATAATATAGTTTTAAGAAACAATATTCTAAACTGTGATAATAGGACTCTTGATTTAGTGTTAAGTAATATTGATAGTATGGGTGTTAAGGAAGAATATCCTGTAGTAAAAAAAGACAAGTATCACCCTCCATTAGGTATTGATTTTGAACTATTGATTGAAAAAAAAACTAATTTTAGTTGTAATAATCAAGGGGGAAAAATTTACAATTTCAAGAATGTGGATTATTTGAAGCTTTACACTGCTGTAAAGAATATTAAGTGGGATTCTGTATATAGTTGTTCGGATGTAGATTTAGCAATTGATAATTTTTATAGTAGTTTATATTCAGCCCTAGATTCAAATGTCCCATTGCGTAAGAATATTAAACGAAAATATCCTATTTGGTATTCTCCTGTTACGATTAAATTAATTAAAGACAAAGAAAAGGCGAGAAGGAAATTAAAGAAATATAAAGACCAGTGTTTTACAGAGGAATATAAGGAATTACGTTGTCAGTCCAAACGTAATATCAAAACAGATTACTTAAAATATTTGAACGACATTGAAAATACTATTAAGGTAAATCCTAATTCATTTTGGAGTATTATTAAGGGGCTAAGATCGAGTGATAGTCGTGTGGCTGCGATGACTCTGGACGGGGAGGAGGTGGAGGGGAGTGTTGCGATAACGGAGGCATTTGCTACTTACTTCCAATCTGTTTACGTTCCCACACATCTTGATAATGAGGAGTTGTATCGCCAGGCGGTCTGCTCACCTGTCCATGCACACTCTGGTTGTCTCGCATTTGGTGATGTCACTGAGGAGGAGTTATTGTTGGCATTAAAAAAACTTAAACCCAAACGCTCTGTAGGCCCTGATGGTGTCCCTTCTTTTATATTCAAAGGTTGTGCTGAACTGTTAGTTAAGCCTCTTCTAAAGATTTTCAATTTGTCTTTAGGTGCGTCGTATTTTCCTAATCTTTGGAAAACTACAAAAGTTGTCCCTATTCACAAGAAGGGGAAAAAGAGTGATATAAAAAACTACAGACCGGTTGCTATTTTGTCCACACCAGCGAAGCTGTTCGAAGCCGTGTTGTATGACAGGGTTTTCAATCATGTGAAGTTCTGGATTACGCCTCTCCAACATGGTTTTTATCCTCGGAGGTCTATCAATACTAATCTGATGAATTTTTCTGATTTTTGTATTTCCTCTTTGGACAAAGGAGGTCAGGTTGATGTCATTTATACTGATTTTGAAAAAGCGTTTGACAAAGTTAACCATCTATCACTATTGTCAAAACTGAATTATCTTGGTATCACCTGCAATGGTTTGCGTTTTTTTTCGACCTACTTACATAACAGAAAACAGTTTGTTTTTTTTCAGGGAAGTTCATCTTCTGAATTTGTTGTATCTTCAGGGGTTCCCCAGGGTTCGAACCTTGGCCCTTTATTGTTCACAATCTTCATTAATGACATCGTTAACAGTGTGTTGAATAGTAAAGTCCTTCTTTATGCTGATGATCTAAAGATCTTTAGAGAAATAAACGACGTTAGTGATTGTCTTCTATTACAACAAGACCTGGATAGACTAGTGGCTTGGAGTGATGTAGGTTTAAAATTCCATTCAGATAAATGTTTTGTTGTCAGTTACACCAGACGCACTCACAACGCTGTTAACTTCCAATATTCCATGAATGGTAATTTACTGGGTAGTCGAAGTAGTGTCACAGATCTTGGTGTTACAATTGATAGCAAGTTGTGTTTTTCTAATCATGTAATTGAGTCTTGTAGATCAGCGTATCGAATTCTTGGCTTCATATTCAGATCAGGAAGTTTTATAACCAACATTTACAGTCTCAAACTTTTATATTGCACCCTGGTACGGCCTAAACTTGAGTTTGGAGCAACTGTGTGGTATCCTCATCAAACATATCTTGTCGACATGATTGAGCAAATACAAATCAAATTCCTTAGATATTTATTCTTCAAGAAGTTTGGATACTTCACATTTGATGTATCTTACCATACTCTTTTAAACTTGTTTGAAATGGTCAGTCTAAAGCAACGTCGTGATATGGGGATGCTTATCTTTCTACACAAACTACTCAATGATAAGGTTGATGACAGCGAGCTCTTATCTCGTTTAACGTTCCTTGTTCGCCGACCCTCGTCCAGAGCCCGCGCGTTGTTCAGTCCGTCCTTCTCACGGACTTGCCTAGGGGCTCAATCACCTATCAACACGATGATGAGACTATATAATTTAATATCAGACAACGTTGATATTTTTAACTCGAGCCTAGCCTCTTATAAAAAATCTTTAATCTCACATAATGGTTAATGTTATTAATTTCTCTCACCTTCATCAGTTATCTTGTGTCTCATGTTTTGTTTCTTATCTTATTTATTTATCTTATTTATTTGCGTAATTCTTAGTCACTCTTATTTATTGTTACTTATTGCTACTATTATTTATTGTTGTTGTTATTTAATAATTAATATTTATTATTCTTAGTCTATGAACGATTTACTTTATTCAATTTTATGAACTCATAGCATGTTCTCAATTTTTGTACAAACTAGAATAGTGCTGCAATGTTAATGGAATTTGTATTCTGTTTTGTAGCATGCAAAATAAAATAAAATAAAATACTGTGATATTTGGCTTATAAAAGTTAACAGTTTAGATTAGACGACAGTAGCTAGCTGACCTTGGAAATAGAACACACATAAGACACATAGTAATATAGCTGTGTGTTAAAACAGCTGATGTCCTCTTTATTACGCAGTTACTCCAGAAACACTATTAACATGTTCTGTGCAACTACAGAGCAAGACGAGATTTCAAGACAGGCCCTAGTGGACACCTCGGCATGGACACCATTGCTAGGTCTGGTCACATGTTCGGTACACATCGGTCTCAAGGCAGAGTTGTTGTTGACCTTGGCTGCTTTGGGAAGGTCACCGGCCACTGCCGCAGTCTTGTGGCACAACCTGGAGGCCTCACAGATCCTGGCTACCATCCCGTCCACCAGCAGCTACCTGCCACGCGGTCTTCAGGTAATTCCAGTACAGTGAAGGAGTCAGTTCGTTTTGTAAACTAAGAATTTGCAGGCTTGCGGTTTGCATGTGATGCGCTACGGACTCAAGAGGCTTGCTACGAGTCCAAGACATCAGCATTTAGTTTTAGTACATAATAATATGTTTGAATTTGTGAAACAGTCGCACATAGAAGACCTACCTTGTACTGTTTTAACAATCAATATTATAGCCCCTTGAAAGAAAAAAAAATAAATATTGTCTTTGTTAGAATATTTTTTGTTTTGCCACCCAGACCGAGCTTGAGGAGGTTGAGTCACGCAATGAAGAGTTCCCTCTGACCCGAGCAATGCTAGTGCTGCTTGACGTGCTGACTGATGTCCCTATTCCCCGACTGCTCGGGTGCGGCACCCGGACACCTGGGTTCCATCCGTACCTCACCTTTGTGCTGCACAGTGTCTTTTTGCGGTTCCACACCCGCTCGTACAAGAGCGTGCAGGAGAAGGTAACTAAAATATGTTTAAGTTTTTGCAAAATTTTGTGTAATATTGTTTTTATGCAAGCTATTTTAGAATAAAAAAAAATGGATAAGTTATTCTTGTTGATCTCTAATATATTATTAAAATTGTAATGCTTTTTGAGATAGTTTTAATTCATTCATTCTACTATTATTGGGGACTATTTTTTTCTATGTTGATCGCCCATTAAATGTAAATGAGTACTTTAATAGCTGCTGTATTTTTACAAGAATTTGATATTTTGTAAAATATGTCTCTGGCAGTAACTTGGTGTCTGAACATTTACAAAGCCTTTGAAACAGAAATAATCTTTGGTTCGCCATTAGGCTGTCCAGACTATATATAGTAGGTGTGATTGTGAAAGCTTTACTTCAATACCATGGCTCAATTTAAGTTGATTAGGATTAACTCACAAGGCCTGTTAAGCCTTGTTCTATCCCTTCTACGCCTCAACCAGGTCAGGTTGCTGGCCTCAACTTAACCTAGAGAGAGGGTATTTGTCACAATCTGATACCCCTGTAACAGTGGGAGGTGTGTCGCCTGTGTCTGCACCTGCTGGTCAAGCTGATATCCCAGTATGAGCCTGCGCCTGAAGACTTCGTAGCCACCAAGGTGCAGTTGCAAGGCGGAGGAACCACGTCTGTCAGTCCACCACCTGGCTTTCACCTCATGTCTGAACTGTGCTCCAAGTCTCAACTGTTCCGACTTGTAAGTTGTTTTAAGTTTTAACTTAACTACATTTTTGTAATTGTTTAACTTATGGCAATTAGTTATAAATCAAGTAATTTTGTAAGTTGTACACATTTCCATGTTTGGAGTGGCAAGGTGCGTTGAATATGATGATGATTTATTTATTTAATAAATCATCATCCATGATCAGTTCAGATATTTTATTGAATAAATAAATAAATGGCTGTGGGATATGTTCAGGACTTTGGCGTGATAGTGATGTCTAAGATGAAAAAGATGATGATGTCTACATGACTGCAGGAGATGTTCAGAGTTTTACCACAATCACAGCTTCTGCCTGCTTTAATAACAATTCTAATTACATTGTTTTTAGGGTTTTAAATTCTTTTTTAACCAATTCAGATAGTTTGAATTGGTTATTAGAGTTATACTATACAGGGTGTCCCGGAACTCTCTACCAATATTTTAGGGCATTGCTCCCGGGTAGGAAACATACCTAAATATCATATTTAAATTGTCCGGAAGTCCTTAGTTACTCACACAGCCGCCATTTTGTTTTTTTTCATTTATTAATTTTTTTCGAAAGAATGGTTAAACATACGAAATTGAAAATTTGCACAAACATTTATGACAACTAGACAAAGCTACCAAAAAATGTTGAAGATTTTTCAAATTCATAAAACAAAATGGCGGCCGTTTAAAATTTTGTTTCTTAAATAACTCGAAAACCATTGATTTTACAAAAATTTTAAACGGCCGCCATTTTGTTTTATGAATTTGAAAAATCTTCATAATTTTTTGGTAGCTTTGTCTAGTTGTCATACATTTTTGTGCAAAGTTTCCATTTCGTATGTTTAACCATTCTTTCGAAAAAAATTAATAACTGAAAAAAACAAAATGGCGGCTGTGTGAGTAACTAAGGACTTCCGGACAATTTAAATATGATATTTAGGTATGTTTCTTACCCAGGAGCAATGCCCTAAAATATTGGTAGAGAGTTCCGGGACACCCTGTATATTGTGATTGGTTTTTACTGGTTTCAGTTTATAAATTGTAATAATATTTTCTTCCTGGTTTTTATTTGTTTGTCCCCAGGTAATGCAACTTATAGAGGAGGCGGCCCAGATGCTGGACACTTACACAGTGTTTGTAGGCAAGACGACATTAGAGGCTGCGGCACTGCTGTGTCTACAGCTGTTAGACTGCGGACTGCGACTGCAGCAACGCTACCTGCTGGCTCTCAGTCAGGCCTCTAGTTCACTGCTGTTGACACCTCTCAACAAACTGTTGTTGGGCATCAACTCCACCACAGGCAAGCCTGATCATCTGCTCAACATCGCCAAGTAAGTGTGAACAATCTGTGCAAAGTCACATGTGACTTGAGATGTAGCTGCATTATTAATCTGTTGTTATCGACCTCTGACGAAAGTCTCCGTTCTTGGTCCTTTTCTTTTTGGACCCGTCTTTTAGTTCTTGATATTTCTGACATAGTTTTTCTCAACAATTATTTTCTTCACCACTTCCAGTTTCTATATATGTTATCTTCACTCTTCATTTCCTCACCCTTTACATCAACCTTAGTTCCCAGACTAGTTGATTTTTTAAATGTCCCTTGATATCTAAGTGGTATCTGGTAAAGCGTAAAAGGTCTTCCATCTTTGGCTTTCCCTCCCTCTTCAATCATAGCCTGTTACATAGCCTTCAATCTTTGCTTTTAGGGATATCTAGTACCATTCTCTGTATGTGTAGACATTTTATGTGTGTACAGGTACGTGACCTACAACAGCTGGCTGCCGAGTCACGCGCTCTACACTGTGCGTATCTTCCTGGCTGTCACCATGTATCCGGTGCCTCAGTCACAGATAGTCTCTGTGCTCACGGCCACTCAAGCACTCACCACTCACGTAAGACACGGCTTTGTCGAGTGTTTGGAGGCTGATGATGAGGACCCTTCGGTGAGTAAAGTACTTAAATCTGTAAATCAGTGGAGCGAACTGGTTTAGTAGTTAGGCATCTACTGCATTTTCCTATTATCCTCTACCATTAAAATGGGAAAATAACATCTGCAAATTAGTGGAACATGATTTCATTGTACTCAAATCTTCTTCTGCCCTGACTATTGTTGACTCCAACAAGTTACTTAGCATCTCTCACCTGGGACCTCGGGGACCGAAGTCTTAAGTTCTGTTACAAGCGCAAGACTTCGGTCTCCGAGGTCCCGTGTTCAACCCTGCCAAATCACCAATGGATTTTATCTAAGCGATAATGCCGCAACCCCTAGGTCTAGCCTGAAGCAATGTGAAAAAAAAATCCCGAGCTTGTTCCTAGCATCCTAGGACAAAAAAACTGTAAATCTGACATACAGGTTTCATGTAATGTACTACATGTTTAGCTACATCATTTTAAAAAGAGTCCCGCTATTGATGACAAGACCTTGTTCGGATTACTGAATTGTGAGGATTGTGCATTGTGCAACAATGTATTTGAATTACAATGATAAAAAAAATTTGTTTCATTGCAATGTCCAAAATCGTCTCCCAAGATCATATTCTTACAACACGACCTTAAAAGAGAACCATCAGGACGTTGTTAATGAATGGACACTCAGTCATAGAGGATTAGCATTTATTTCAAATTTCCTAGTTTCATAAAAAATTCACGTACAATTCAGATTTTTTACTGGTCATGTTAACTCATTTAGAGGTACCACTCCTTGTTTTCTCAGTTTTCCGGTCAGCTAAACATTAGTATTTCACAACACAGCTTGTTTTTTTTTATTATTTAATTACACACTTTTTCCCCCAACAGGTAGTTTGGATTAGCAGGACTCTAGAGTACCACTGGAGTAGAATGCATTAAAATAGACTGATGAAAGCTGATCATTCAACAAATATCTGTAGAATTGTACAGCAGTTAGAAAATCATTAGTTCTCGTAATCATTAATTTAATTAGTTCACCAGACAACTTGTTGTCACAGGATGATCAAGATAACTTGAGTGAAGCTACGAAAACTAAGGAGGCCATATTGAAACTGTTGCTGCAATGTCTGAACCACACACCACCCAACCTGGCTCACTACCTGCTGGGCTTTGATTTGGACAAGGATATCTCCCATACTAACTTCCAGCAACCTGGTGAGTGTCTGAACACTAATCGTTATCACTAGAACGGATATATACGAACGTAAACACAACAGAGTGAATGAGATGATCGCTTTGCTATTGGCTAAGGTTGATTAAAATGCAAAATAATGAGTTGCAAGATGGAGCAAAATATTGAAACTGGTGTCTTAAGACACTGATGTATGAATAATCCTCAGAAACTAGCAAGGAGTTAAATATCTTTTTAAAAATGTGTTTAAAAATAACACATAAAACATTACTTACTCTTACTCCCATGGCCATTGATACCCAAGGTGGTATTTGTCCTCGCCAACTAAGTGCCTCCATTTCTTCCGATCTTCAGCATCTTCCTCCGTGATTCTTATCTTCCTCATATCTTTGGACACTTCATCTTTCCACCTCTTTTTGGGAGGCCCAGGAGGTCTTCTTCCAACAGGGTTTTCTTTACAAACTTTCTATATCAATGCATCATCCGTGCATCAATGTTCTCTCCTTAACACATGCCCGAGCCATCTTATTCGTCGACTTTGCTTCCGCAACAGCATCTGGTGCTTTATAAAGGTATCTAATTTCTCTGTTGTGTTTGATCCTCCATTCACCATTTTCTCTTGTTGGTCCAAAAACCTTTCTTAGCACTTTATTTTCAAAGGTGACGAGTTTTTTTCAGTACTTTTGTCCAGAGTCCATGTTTCAAAACCATAAAGCAGAATTGGACAAATCACAGTTTTGTAAATTTTTAGTTTTGTGTTGACAGAAAACAGCTTTGATGATAATTAGTTTATTCAGGGCAAACATACTTCTATTGGCTGGATTTATTTACCTTTGAATTTCGGATTGTCCGGTGTTATTTGCGCTTATTATTGTGCCAAGGTATTTAAAATTGTCTACTTTTCCAAAATTGTAACCTTCAATAGAGAGGCTTCTAGAATGGTCTTGATTTCGTCCAAAGTGCATGAATTTTGTCTTTTCTGCATTGATTTTAAGTCGTACTGTTTTAAAACATAAAACATTATAATGTGAAATTTCCTTGAACTGTCATTAATGAGAGTTTGGCTTGTTTAGGTATGCTGGGTTTCCCACTGACATGTCTTCACGCTGTCATGTCCCTACTCAACACTGGACTGAGAGCTCACTCCGATGTGACGGCTCCTTCAGTCAACCCTCGCCTCACAGAGCTCTGTTACCATCTTATCTACGCGCTGGCCGCTAACGTCAGGACGTCCGAGCCTACTCTGAGATTCCTAAGGTCCTCGGGAGACTTTATACAACGTCACCTTGCCGCGTTGCCATTCAACTCATCGAACAAGGGTGAGTGAGGATATATTTCAGTCTTTCTAGATACTTAAATAAACGGATTTAAACTCTTTTCCTTTTCAACTTCATTTTAAGGGCGGGTATCAGTATTGTGGCCCATAATCAAAACTAAAAGAACATCTGTTTCTTAAAAAAAAACTTTATTTTTTAAATTATAGAAATACAAAGCATAAAAAGTTAGACATGCCTGTGGATGTGAAAAAAACTAAAAGAAAGAATTAAAATATTTAATGATATACACAATGACCAGAAAAGAAATCAATGCTAGTGAAAAGGGAGTGTGATTTCCAAAAAAAAATGAAAGGTAACTCAATGAAAAAAGAAACGCCAGGCTGAAAAAATGTAGAAACATAAGACAGTGACTAAAAAGGGTGTACTACAGCCCTAATATTTGTCCCTGTTCTCTCAGAAAAGTCTGATATTCCAGTTAGGTTCCAGATGTTTCCAAACGCAGATTTTATGATTTGTCACTAATTTTTATAACTCAAACTCAGTGAAAATGTTTTAATTTTTTCTAGGGGTGTGCGATGCAGCATATTTTTTTCGATTCGATGCATCGATGCGATTCAAAGAATTTCGATTCGAATCGATGCGATTCGATTCGATGCAGCACGGCATGATTTTCTTCAAAAATTAAATACAACATGTGTTTCTGTAATGGATCCTTTACCTTAAAAAAAGTTAAAGTAAAAAATGTACTAAATAAAATTATGAACAAGAGGATAGTTGCTGACCTAACCTCATTAATGGACACTGCTAATTTTATGGTTGGCCTAAGGAAATTTACCCTTCACTAACAATTAGAATAAGCCTATATATCAATAAAGCAATCGTTAAGTTTATTATTATTGACCTGTATTAAATAAAATAGAGTTTATTTTATGACGTACGGTAGTATTGTTACTTAGTTTTCACATTTATATTTGTTGGCTTTCAATACTTCTGGTTCATTCTTAAATCAGTACGAACCAAAAAAGTTGATTATCAGTGTTTACTGTCTATTTTAGTGATGGTCGGATCCGGATATCGGACTACCGGATCCGCCGGATCTGAGCTAGAACCGACGCCCGATCGTATCCACAAAAAATCGGATCTTGGGCTGGATCCGGTTTTAATGGATCCAATTTTATTTATACTATTAACACAAAATGGACGAGTATTCGAGATTTTGAGTTTGAGTAAAGTACAATATAGAAATAAGCAAGAGGTAGTTGTCCTAACCTATTTTTATAGCTGTCACGACAGAATAGGTCAACTCAAAGCAGTCGCTGGCGACTGACTGGCAATGGCAATGGTATACTGACTTGACACAGAATAGAATGACATGACCGGTAGAGATTTTGTTTTAAAGTAGGCCTACTGTTTCACAATAGAAAATTTCACTACTGAACTACGTAAGCAATAAATTTATGTTTATAAAAGTCAGAATAGAAACACTATAAAGGCAAAACAATAGACGGGAGGCAGGCGTTGTGCAATGACCTTGAAATGAGCGGAATAGTAACATTGAGTAGGGGAAGGGAAGGGTGAGACCTTTGAGCTATATTTAGACTAGACTTTCACCACTTCCCAAATGGCTGGGTACGGGGATTACAATAGCAGGTTTTTTCCTTGTCTGGTTTGACTTTTGTCTTTTTGTGTAGGAGATTTGAATAATCAAAAATATAATTTGAATTGACCACAATTATTTAGCATTGATAATACAATTTGCAAGGACCAGGAGTTGTACAAAATAGAACAAAACACTAAAATTAATAGAATAACAAACAAAGTAAACAACAAATTAAATACAGAACACGGTGATTTAACACTGTCACTGTCACTCAATTTTGTTGTCTAGAAGGGTCGGTGAACTAATCAATAAATAGCCAAAACCAGTTTCCTCCCCCTCTAACCACCACCCCTCCCCCCTAAGCCGGGAGGCCCAACACTTTGTCCTTGAAACACCCTAGCCTCTGAAACAATAAACCCTTACACCTGCGTTGCTGTTTTGACAACAGGTTTATGAATGCGTTCACTATTTTTCATTTTCCAGAATTAACTATCAATTATTATTATTTGCAAGTTACAAATAGGAAACTACATGACATTATGGTACCTATTCAATGACCCATGTATTATCAAAAATTTATAATTGATTACTTATTTTGATAATAAAAAGCATTCATTACAGCACGCAGCACTTATTGATATATATATATATATATATATACAGGGTGTCCCACGAGAGGTGTCTCAAATTGATTACGGGATAACGGCTTAACGTACAAGGATGAAATAAAATTATTTCCTTCTAAATCAACCCCAAGGAAAAACGTAAAAATATTTTTAACTTTTTTCAAATACAGGGTGTGCCAAAAACTGAGGGTCACTAGTTCAAATCTCGTAATTTTCAAATGTAAACATATGTCATGTTATACATCATTTTAAAGGTATTAAATAGACAAACATTTTGGTGAAAACAGAAATTAATTATCTTTTTCCGTTTCAAAATGGCGGCAGTTTTTTTGAAAGAAATCTATATTTTTTTAATACTCTGTATTTCCTATACCAATGCATTTAGCACTTCTCCGGTTGCATTTTCTTACTCGTTATGAAATTAGCTTTACTGTGATATGCAACAAGTAACGGTTTTTTGAAATAATAAAAATTCCAAAAAAATTTATTTTTGAAAATTTGCAAATGCTCATTGTTCAAAATTTTCAAATAGCAACATATGTCAAGTGGCACATCATTTTATAGGTTTTTCAATTCCTAACAACTTTGTAATTTACACTTACTTCGTATCTCTTTTAGTTTTTGTGTAAATAACAAAAAACCTAATTTTCCTATATCAAATGCATGTTATTTGGGTTTGACATGGTTCAACACTAAATGAAATGAAGCCTTTAGTGTCAAACCCAAATAACATGCATTTGATATAGGAAAATTAGGTTTTTTGTTATTTACACAAAAACTAAAAGAGATACGAAGTAAGTGTAAATTACAAAGTTGTTAGGAATTGAAAAACCTATAAAATGATGTGCCACTTGACATATGTTGCTATTTGAAAATTTTGAACAATGAGCAATTGTAAATTTACAAAAATAAATTTTTTTGGAATTTTTATTATTTCAAAAAACCGTTACTTGTTGCATATCACAGTAAAGCTAATTTCATAACGAGTAAGAAAATGCAACCGGAGAAGTGCTAAATGCATTGGTATAGGAAATACAGAGTATTAAAAAAATATAGATTTCTTTCAAAAAAACTGCCGCCATTTTCAAACGGAAAAAGATAACTAATTTTGGTTTTCGCCAAAATGTTTGTCTATCAAATACCTTTAAAATGGTGTATAACATGACATATGTTTACATTTGAAAATTCCGAGATTTGAACTAGTGACCCTCAGTTTTTGGCACACCCTGTATTTGATAAAAGTTAAAAATATTTTTACGTTATTCCTTGGGGTCGATTTAGTTGGAAATAATTTTATTTCATCCTTGTACGTTAAGCCGTTTTCCAGTAATCGATTTGAGACACCTCTCGAGGGACACCCTGTATATATATATATATATATATATACTGTATATATAATCATCAAAGTATCTGTTACTTTATACAAAATTAAATAGGTACAAAATTGTGTGGCCAGTCAAAATTTATAAACAAACATTTTATTCTATAAAATACAGATGGTAAATAGGGGTTGGTTTAAAGGAAATAAAATACAAAACAGATTAATTAATTATTTTGATAAACGATAGAAAGGTTATGGGATTGATTGAACTAAAATAACCACAGGGAATCTTAAGTAGAAAAGTCGTCAACCAAAATCTGTTTAATCAGTACATCGTTAGAGAGAGAGGGGGGGAGAGAGAGATAGCAGATAGGGGCGTTTGATAGGGAATCTGAAAAAGTAAACAAACAAGGAACAACGACGCGACAATACTCGTTTATAACCTTATTGTCAAATCTAGGTCTTTGTAAGACAAAAGAAAATCACACCGTTTTAAACTTTAACCTAATTTTATACTCTTTACAAACAAACACGTCCTACATAACGGTTCTTGATATTTATCAATGTATCTTAGCAATCGTCACTTGCTCCATTTAAACACGAACGTCGATTGGCTGACATGACAGTGCAGCGTGGCCTCTCGACCAATGAGAACTCTTGTTACATACTTTGGTTTATCTTAGATGGTCAACATTTACCATTCATTATAATATTACAAAATCGACATGGACTATGCGTATGGTGTTTTTCAATCAAAACTTATATTATAGTAGCACTTAAAACTTCACTTAAACTAGGTAGATAGTACAGATATAATATGGATCTACTTTTTGGTGCAATAGGCAAGTGCAAGCCTAACCCTCTGCTCTGACTTCGATGTTGTAATTGAATCGAATTTTTCTAATGATGCGTAATGCAGGGATGAAACTGAACATTTAGACAAGTTTAGGTTATTTATTTTGTTCTAAAAATAAAAATAATACATTTAAAGATCTGACTTATTGATACAGACATTTTTTAGTATAATTTCGTGTTGAGGACACTCGCGCGCCGGTTGTCTGAGACTGAATTCTGACTGTCTGACGACATCTTGAAATGTAGATTGTATTGTGTTGTGCAATATCATCTGCCTGCAGAGAGAACAGCTGAAAAAAAACTTTAGCTGTTTTGAACTAAATAGTGTGCTAAGTTGGTTACTAAAGCTGTTAGCGTGATTACAAAACTAATAGATATCAAATAAATAAATGTTAAAATAAAATATCTATCCATCCCTGTCGGCTGTCGGTATCGGCGAAATCGATGTTTGGCAATCGATTCTTGATACCGATATTCCTAGTATCGGCAATGTTCGAGTATCGGTGGTAGCGATAATTGACACTTCCCTATCTAAAACTCATATTGGAGTCCTGAATTAGTTTTAAATATGCATCGGGACGTAATCGTTGCATCGGGAGCTAACCGATGCATCGGTCTTTTTCGATGCATCGAGGCCAAATCGATGCATCGTGATTTCGATGCATGCTGAATCGAATTGCAATTCGATGCATCGAATCGAATCGAATCAAAATTTCGATGCATTTTCGATGCATCGCACACCCCTAATTTTTTCCTCTTTTACAAGTATCATAGCTGTAAAGCTGTTGATTATGTTAATAATAACTTGATTACTCTAAAGACATTCACATTCCAAAAATTAAATATGTTATATTGTGTGCAAAACCTATCCTATAAGTATCCCTTGGATGTAAAAATGTGTAGGCCCACATCTAGAATTCGTAAAACACGGTACACACTAAAGATAAGTCCCATTTGTTACAAAAAACCGCCAAAAGTCACACTAAAGGCTACACAAAATCAAGAATATTCTATTCACTGTCAGTATTTCAACCGAGGAAAGTTTTATTTGCAAATAGTAATGTTTCTTTTTCAAGTTAGACAATTCTCATTTAGGTAAGCCTGGTATGGTATCCTAACCAAAGTCATTAAAAGTAAGGCCTTTGTGCTCTATGACCCTCCCTCAAGGTTAATTTAATGTATCTAAGCCCTGAATAGACCTCTAATCTGCTGTTTCCCCAGGTTGTGATCTGACCCAGACTGCGTGGCTGCTGAAGACTGTTGCTATAGAGCTGAAGGTGACAGCTGCCCATCAGCAGATGTCTCAGTTGACCAATCTAGTCAACGTGCTGGTAGTGGACAAGGAAGTGCTTCGAGCTGACCGCCACCTCGGCAACGTCACCTCTGGAGTGCAACTTACTCACTCCTTCAAAAACGATTTAGGTGAGATTACACCTCTTGTAAAATCTAATAAGGCATTTCAGAATCTTCTGTGTGTCTAAATTCGCTCACATTTCTTCAAATACGACTTGTAAGTGAGAACATTCCTCAGGTGAGGAACTATATAAAAAGTTAACACATATTACATCAATTACATAACTATTCAAAAGTATCTGCATTTTCTCAAGATCATCACTGCTTTTTAATGTACATTTATCTTGGCTTGATTTCCCTCCTTTGTCAACAAAAACACTACACATAATGTCACAACAACGTCCTTTTACAGATCCAAACTCTGTGGTTGAGAAGGGATTTGTGGTTAAGATTCTTTTTTGTGGTACTAAACTTTGATCAAAACACCACTACTCATCCATCCTAAGTTTCTTTATAACACTAAGTTAGCAGGAGTTTGTCTATTTATAGTTGAGCCTAATGTTGAATGGTCATGTTTCAGTGGATCTGTCAGCACCATACAAGCGTCTGATACTGCAGTTGCTGGGAGTTTTGTCTTTCAACATAGAGCCTGTCCCCACCCCCACCTGGGAGTTCTTTGAACACAGCCAGATGGAGAGTCTGATGGCCAAGTGTGAGGTGAGGATAAAACTAACATTAGTCACAAGTACCTGCAATATTGGCGAACAGTTGACAGATCGGTTTTGGGCAAGAAAAGAATTTTTGAGTTAAACTAAGGTAATACATAGACTCCCTCTTATACGGACACCTTTTAACCGGACATCGGTTTAACTGGACTACACTCGGCGGAAATGACATCTCTCTAACCGGACTATTTCTATAAGCACATCAGTTTAACTGTACTAGATTGGCAGGTAGTGGGCGGTACTGAAACGACTGTTCTCGTGGGAAAGATTTGAGACCAGTGATCACGTGTCTAAATACAATGCTCTCCTAAATTTAAGTCAAATACTGTATACAGTATTCATTTAAACAGTCCGTTTTAATGAGTTTTTGGGGACGTTGGTTTAACCAGAAAAACCATTATCCAGACTGTCCTCGAACCAGAGGAGATAAGAGGGAGTCTACTTACTGTATTAGAGGTTTGCAAGCAGCTTATTTTTTATAGCTGAAAGCATTTGTGGAAATTGAGCAGTAAACAATTCATGATTCTGCTGTGATTGTAACAGATATAGATGATTTTGCTGCAATCTTGGGAGATGTTAATTTACAGTAGGTACTGGTATTACTATTTGGGGAGGGGGGGGGGGGGAGTTGGAGTATGTCTACTTTCAGGTACTTTGGCCCGTTGATCTTGTGTAGCACACCTCTAAGCTCAACAGCCCTCTGTGGGATACCTATTCCTCTTATCTCCTCTGGCTTAAGTAACACCTTTCCTAGAGATTTCAACCAACCACAGCTTATCATATATAGATGGGGTGTCTACTTTAGTATACAAATATATTTGTACAATGTTGTCATCACTCACAGGTTGCCAGTCCAGGGGGTTTGAAGGTGATCAACATCAAGCGTCTTCATCGACTGCTGGTCAATGAACTGTCTGTAGTTCAGGGTAGCTCCACTGTGGCTCAGCGGCAGCTCATCCTGCGAGAAATACAGGTAATAAACCACCTGAGCACATACTTGAGGTTTTTTACAACCACATTAGCATTCTATCAGATTTGTATTGGGTTCATAAATCATTAATCAATCAATTAAACTATTTTAGGAAATTATTTGAGTCTTATATCAGTTCATATTGAGGAAGAAGGGAGATATATCAAAATATCGGATAGTAATGAAAGAAAAGGAAAATTATTGATCTAAACATTTTTTTTAACTTGTCTTATTAGCTGTTATTTGCCACAAGCTTCCTGGAACTAATTGCTAGAAAGAGTAGTTGCGTATTCATTCCTTTTCCCTCGATGTATTCATAAGCGAAATGATTTTTTCTCCTAACAACTCATATTCAAACAAAAGGTTCCTGAAGTTCCTCTCACAGTTTTATTCTTTTTAAGTAGAGTAGTCATGTCTACTGCTGCTGATGGTAGAGATATCTATTTTGGTTTTTTTTATTCGTTCATGTTTTGCTTTGTGTTACAAGCTTTGACAATGAATCAGTTGCAACACTTGTCCGCCAAATGAGTGTGAATCTTAGAAATATTTTGAATAACACAAGTGTTTTGTTGCAGAACGTGTTAGCTCATGCAGTCAGACAGAACCAACAACACCACTTAGCGTCAGCCACCGTACAGTACCTGGATGCCTGGAGACAAGTGACCGAGGTGTTGTTCTCAGTGGCTCCTACCGAATCACTCCCCTTTCCTCTGCGCTTCAGCCTGTTACTGCAAACCATCTTTGAACTGCTCACCAAGGTATGGGAGATTGAACCACCTTATGTAGCTTGTGAATAAATACTTGCTTAACTTGTATATGTAACGTCTGCATCTGGCAGTAAAATTGTTAAGTCAGTTGGTTTATATAAAAAAACCACAGAAAGAACCGGTTATAGTAAATCTTTAATCATATTAATTAATTTAATTGGGATCATACCACATTTGAATGATTAAAAATTCAGCTTACTGGATTTTTACCAAAAGTAGGGTTATTTTACAGAAAATAGGCAGAGTCGAGCCCGATTTTACTATCGCGACCGCATAACGTGTCTGCAAAGTTTTTGTGTTCACACTTTTGTCATGATTGCGGAGGACCATGATGACTTTCCGTGACTTGGAGATGATAATAATGTCTACAAGACATGAAGATGTTGAAGATTTTGCCACGATCGCAAAAAATGTCAATGTCGGAGAATAAACATTCTGTTAGTGTCAGTAAAATATTACAATTATTTAGCATAGCATTTTGTGTTTACGTTAAGAGTTGACTCTATCAGGGTGTCCACATTCTGGAAAGTCAGGGATATTCATGGCAAGTCATGGAAAAACATTCTGGTCATTGAAAGTCATGGAAATAGGCAACAAGTCATGGAAATCCCCAATGATAGATGGATTTGACAGGACTTTTTAATACAGGGTTATTCTAAATGATGGACCCATTTTTAATGCTTTATAATTTTTATACTATTAAACTTACCGCTATAAAATACACATCAAACGAAAAAGCAACTCAAAGAGTTTACGCCTTCCAAAGACACATCATTTAACAAAATCGATCCAACAGAACTGTAGATTTAATTGTACAAAGTTAAAAAGTAATCTCCAACTTTTTTTACCACTAGAAATTTGGAGGTTACTTGACGTTTTTGCAAATAACTTTTAAATGGTGAGGAAATCGACTAAAGTGGAAGGTACTATTCCGAAAGAGAATAAAATTTCCTACAATCTACTTTTAAGCATTTTTTGAAAATACTCAAGAAAGGTACCAAAAATTGCCTCAAAATGAAAAAAAGTTGAAAATACCCTTCTTTAATGTAGACAATAAACATAGCAAACATTAAATTTCGCACTTTTTTATTTTAGGCCAAATTTATGCTACATTTATTGAGTATTTTCAAGATATGCGTAATAGTAGATTGTAGGAAATTTTATTCTCTTTCGGAATATTACCTTCCACTTTGGTCGATTTCCTCACCATTTAAAAGTTATTTGCAAAAACGTCAAGTAACCTCCAAATTTCTCGTGGTAAAAAAAGTTGGAGGTTACTTTTTAACTTTGTACAATTAAATCTACAGTTCTGTTGAATCGATTTTGTTAAATGATGTGTCTTTGGAAGGCATAAACTCTTTGAGTTGTTTTTTCGTTTGATGTGTATTTTATAGCGGTAAGTTTAATAGTATAAATATTATAAAGCATTAAAAATGGGTCCATCATTTAGAATAACCCTGTACTCTAGCTGGTGGTAACCCCTCAACTATTAGTAGCATTTTTCAGGATCTTTCACAAATGTAAAACAGATCAATGTATTACAGTCGTATTAGTTTATGAGTTTTGAGTTTGTATTAGTTCAATAGAATCTGTCCCTACTTTATTATCTTATAATTTAATTTAATATTTGTAGGATATTGTTAGAACAGTAGTGTATATTAGAATTTAAAATATTACAACTTTATTATTACAACTCAAATTGCAATAGAAATATAATGTTTTGAGTTGTCTTAAGTTAAGTCTTTTCTAAGTTAAGCTAAATTGCGTTAACACTGAAAACTCAGTAAAAAAAATAATAATAAAAAGTATATTGGAAGGAAAAAAGAAGGTGAAGAGAGAACTTGGCCAGCTATGGAGAGGGAGGAGGCTGGGTTTTCTTTTTTCCTTCCTTAATTTGAATACAATATTTTTGCAAAATTTATCACTCCATTGTTATCTGTTAATTCATATTTCAGTATTTACTGTGAAATAACAAATAACTTGTCTAGGCAGTACTATGTGTGTGTGTATGTTGTATTATAGTTTTTTAGTAAAGTTCGGGAGTCATGGAAATAAAATTTTATGTGTAACCTGCTCTAGCCTGCTGTCTTAACAATCGTAATGTCTTTCATTGCAGGTACTGAACGCCACGGTGATGACTGAGCTAGCGATCCTGTCGTCCAACGCAGTGTTACTGCTGCTGGTCAACGTGCGTCACTGTCTCACACAACAGCTGGGCAAGCTACAGCTCAGTGGGGCAGAGGACGCAGGTGCCAAGCTGCGAGCCTTCCTACAGGCCAAGGAGAACATCCTGCGCGACATCAGCAGCTGCCTGCTCAAGTGGATATTGAGCTCAGGTACTATATCAGTTTTTAAAGACAGTAGAAATGGACGAGTTCCAAAATTTAAGGAAGTTTTTGAAAAATGTCCAATTTTTGAGCATCCCACCCATTAAATTTATTTTGGCATTTTCTTAGTACGGGATTTCCAATCAAACTTTCAGAAATTTTTCGTCGAACAAAAGAGAGGATTGATAATAACGGCGATCCCATTATCACAGATTACAGTCTAAAAAAGTACAACAAAGACTGAAAAACTTTTTGTTTTTTTGTTGAAAAAAAGATTTTGTTTGACACTATTGCCATTTACAAGAATTTTTACTCAATATTCTCTAAAAAAAAGCTTACCTTGCTGTTTGGGAAGAAAACTGCCAAACCGAAAATCAGGAAGTAAATAAAAATCCTATTATGCTCTAAACGTAAAATGAAAAATATTGTTCATCCCAAATTAATATTTTAGTTAGTAATTAATGTGTTGTAATTGTAATTGAGGTTGTGTTGCAAACCTATTAGTCAGGACTTGTGGGTGTGATATGTTCATCCCTTAGTTCCACGAAAATGTAGAGGGTTAATAACACTTTTCCTTAGATAGAAGTTTTGATTCCTTTGTCAAAATGCCAATTAAATCCCAATATCTCACTGAATGATAAATGCAGTTGCCTGTTTATATGAGGACATTTATGTGAAATAGTTAAGGTGTATTTTTACCGTAATGATTGACACTATTTATCAAACTATTTACTAATGTGTATGAAATAAATAAAGAACTTTTGATTTGATTATGATCCTACACTGGGACTGCAAGGGTGCCAGATAACCAAAAATGTCAGATTTCAAAAAGGTAATACTAAATTGAACATAAAGCTAAGAAAAGTCGCCATTGTGCATTCACTGTTGCAGTGTCTTCACAAAAGCTGCGTGCCAACCTGTACGCAGCTCTGCTCAGCTTTCTGCAGTTATCTCGTCAGCAGTGTGAGCCGATGCCTGCACGACCGGTGGAGATATCTGGTGGCAACTACGTCAGTCTACTCGACCAGCAAACTCTCTCCGTCAGCAAACATGCTTGTGTCCAGGTACTTAGAGTTATTGTATCAACCTCACTTAGTTTATAAAGACCATAAGGTTTCCTTTTTGTTAGGCTTATAAGTTATTGAAATCTAGTTTTGATACATTTTTGCCATCCTGTCTCAAAAACTTGAATTATATTAGATGTTCGTGTCCTTCAATGCATTTCTCCCCCGCGTGTCCGTTGCCACGTTGTCAGATTGACCTGACCATGATACTAGTGACCACGTTGTGTGTAAATATTTTTGTATACATAGACTGTAGTGTTAGTGATAAAAAGACCCCTTAAGATACAACACAAGGTGGAGAAATGTATAGGGTGACAATAAACATCTTACCTATAAGAACTCATTATTTTCAGTTAATATTAAATATCTTTCCAGGTTCTGTTGGGTTTCGGAGAGAGATTGTTGACTACCTTATGTCAAGACTTCTCGGGTGGTCATGACATCTGTAAGGTAAGTGAAGGCTTTTGGTGTACAAGTGTTAGCACTTAGCAGCAAATGTAAAGATCTCAAAGACTCACATTCTGTCTGAAGTGATGTGTGGGATGTGATGGGACGTATAAGGTATCTAACATGAATCTGATGCTTGATTGAAATTACTGACACTATTAGTTTGCTTTTGATTGCACGTTAGCTCCTGGAAAACTAACTTACAGGCTTTGCCTTAATTCATTATGGAATAGTCTTTGGTTATTATAATAGCAAATTTTAAGTATATTTTACCTTTGCTTCACAGAAATGATCCTGTGTTGTAGCAGGGTAAAAGAATGTTGTGTATTCATTAAAGTAGGCCTACACAACTTCAGAATAAAACATGTACAGCTGTTACAATTACTTAGGGGTTTTTACCCTATGACAGGTAATTTGTTTTCAGTCAGTGTCAAGTAAAAACTTATTGAATATATCCTGTATAAAACAGGATTATTGTCCTGCTAATTGTTACTGTTATAGTTCTTATAAATAATGTCTGTACCTATGTGAAAGAAGGTGAAGTTAATTCTTATAAATAATTTCTGTACCTATGTGAAAGAAGGTGAAGTAGGTACTGTAAGTCTAAGAGACTTCATGACAAATAACAAATTACTCATCTATAGGCCTAATACTAGGGAAAATATTTCAATCCTATATAGGACACTACTGCACACCAAATATAACCGGCTACAGGAAGGTATGTATGTAAATTTATACTATTGAAATGGCCAACAAAAGGGGTCAGGCACTCACGCACGTACACATAAGTACTCAAAACTCATCACAACACATTTGCCACTCATACAATCTAATCAGCTTAACACTTTAACCGAAACATGGGTGACATTTATATAAATAGAGAGACCGGACGATTTTTATCAACAAATTTCATGTAAAATCTTAGATTTATATTTTTTTTTAGTATATGCAGGCTTAAGGAAAGTAAAACATAAATTTTAGTACAAATATATGTATTATAAAAATAATATTAATTTACAAAAAGTTTTATAAAATGTATAATAAACATAAAACATACAATATACTGGAAAAAAAAATGCTTGTCTGAACTTGTCTTTTACATACAGTCACAGTCTATGCACACTTTACGGGTTTAAAAAAAAAACAAGCCTTTGCATAAACAACTGCTTACAAAAACCGGCAGCGCGATATACGTTACTCGAAAGATCCGGCACTAGAGACCTGCACGTTTTCAAATTTGGAGACGTTCACTCAATGACCGCTGATTGGGGACTGACGCTGATGGGTGGGGTAGGTAGAAAGGTACTGAGGGGTAGGGGTACGCACAAATCGCCATCAAATAATAAGCTTATAAGCTTAAATAAAATTGTAAAAAAGACGCTAACTTGTCATTATAATTTATCTGTGTGCTTATGTTTTGTGTCAGATGCTGGCCTTGTCCTGTCTGGACCTGATGATAGAGATGGATCCTAACGGCCACTGGGTGTCATTCTTGTCCTCCAGAGGCTACCTCAAGTTCCTCATCGATAGTCTGCTCGCCTCGGACCACGACCTCGTGGAGTTAGTCACCAACAACAGTGACACATTGCGACCGCTCTACGTCTATGAGAGCAAAATGGTGAGTGCTCTTGCCCACAAGCATAGACATCCCATCTATGGACCACTTGTAGCTAATTTCATATTCAAATAGATCATAGTTGAATGATCCACTGGAGTGTGATAAAATATAAATTTCTATTTCCTCTCTTTTATTTTTGTTTTTTGATTCATTTTACAGTTGATGTGACATAAAATATGCTTTATTGTAAAATAGGTTTTCTTTTCAATGTGGCTTGGCTTCCAGGACTATCTCTAAACCTCTTCCAATCTCATCACACCATGGGTCCTATTTTTTAAATGATCGAAAGTTGTTAGTCAATAGTCAACACTCAACTCAACCAACAACCGGATTTGGTATTTTTGAAATCCAACAGTTGGGAAGTGGTTTGGTAGTCCCTAATTGAGTGACTCGTTGGGAAATTAAAGCAGCGGCACCGCACAAAATACAGATGATGTCATTTAAAACCAATCACTGTGCAGCAAACCTCTCGCTCTACATTTATGATCCTTTTTTCAGCTTGCGCTAATGAATCTGTCATATTTCGAGAAACTGGGGTAAACTGCAGGCTCCGTCCGATGAGATTAAAGTTATGCCTAGTTATATCTTGGTGATTGCAAAAGTGCCTTGTTTAGATTCAAAAATTAATTTTAGGCGATACCTCATCTCAGGTACACCCGTATGGTAAATTATTTGCTTTCTTTGTCTCCATTTTAGGACAAATCACCTTTTTAGTTCCCTTCATCGGTTTGTTTTATGTTCATTCATGTATTTCCTGTATTTGTGTTAAAGTTAAAGCTTTAATGGATGTTTGCCATTGCATCGAAAGCATACCGTAACTTAAATAAATTTTATCTCTTTATTAGGTGAATTATGGTATTAAAACTAACTAACTAAGATGTGTCTCTTTACCAAAACGTTTAATAAATCATAATAACATTTATCTTATAGTAATTTTAATTAGTAGGCCAAGTCTGTTTCAAAATATTGAAAAAATCTTAAAAAGGATACAATCTTTGATTTGATAGTCTAGTATTTACATAGTAAATATAAATACAATTTATTCTACAGAAAAATAAATATAAAAAATTATTGGGCGCTATGAAAACGAAAACTAATTTTTAATGGCTGTTTTACTTTAATATTTTATTTTTGACAAAGCTAATGTGAACGCCTGAAGATATCTCTCTGTTGACGAAACTTGTCACAAATTAGCAGCAAATAGGAAAGCCAGAAGGTAAACATCAATCTTGATTTATTGTGTTTTTTATGCTAATTAATGGATTAAATGTCTACAGGCTCTGTTGTGTAGAGTAGCGTCAACTCACAGTGGTGCTGAGCTGCTACTAGAACAAAACTGTCTTTCTTGTCTGTCTTCTCTGCAAGTGTTGGATAGACACCCAGATATCACCCCCAGATTTGCACAGTAAGTCTTGATAATACAATCAAAATAGGGCTGTTTGGAAGTTAATTTTTTTCAGGGAGAGGAGGTAAAAATGCTTTTACGCACATAGGTAGCCAGGCTGGTAGTGTGAGACTCCTAAGCTTATCAGACTCACTAAAAACCCACTCTACTCTGTTGGACACAGACCTGGGATTGTCACATTACTTCAGGTCAGGTCAACGTGTGACCTAAGCCCTCAGGGTTCGCACCATTTCTGGCATTCAATTTCTTTATGACCTAGACTGCGTCCTGGTCAAGCTCTAGCTTCTTGGCGCGGAGAGTACCCTGGACGAAATGTGACATACAGGTCCAATTGTCCTCACCCTCCGTCATCATCGGAATGACCGTGTCCACCGACAATAGCGTCGACCGTAGATCGCTGTTTAAGAGTTACAGTAAAACATACAGTATTAGGCATAGTTGGCCTTTAAGATGATATATGTGTAATAGGAGGGTCAAATATTGTAAAGAGGAAGTGTTTGGCAATCAAATCAAATCAAATCAAAATGTCTTTATTTCGTAAAAAATAATCATTTTTACAGTTTTAACAAAATACAGTATCAGATTACCATAAGAATATAACTGAGTACTTGAACTATACAAAATGGTTCAAATGTTTTCAATGGTTCAAAGTTGTGTGAGTAGGCTGGTAGTGTTGTTAAACAATAGCTTGTTGTGCTGACCTACTGAAGACTGTTGCTTTAAGTAGGCCAGTGCACTTGATCAAGGGGTCAGTTTTGGAGGGTAGTGTTTGGGTGGTGCCAGTGGCGGATCCAGAGGGGGGGCGAGGGGGGCGACCGCCCCCCCCCCCTCGAGCATACATATACATATATTTTTTACTGCATGTAATACAGTAGTGCATACAAATTGCGTAAAATAATTTATCACACTAACTTTGGACAAAGAAATGGTAAAAAACTGTGATTTAGGAGACTTAGTTTACACACATTTTTCGGAGGGGTACCCCCGAACCGCCCCTGACTCCCTGGTTCGCCCCCCCCCCTTGTGACTGCTCTAGATCCGCCACTGGGTGGTGCACCGAAGGACGGGGTCCTGCTGGGGGAGTTCCAGTTTATCCTCAAAACTAGTTATACCTACTTAAAAACTTGTATATTACAGCTAATAATATTTTCATTTTATTACGATTTTTAGTGAGGATAGCAGACTTACCTGAATGGGAAAGTCTCAAATTGATACAAGAAACACAAAGTATTAAAATATTTCACCAGCATTTTCAACTAAGGATAATGGAGTTGTTTGATGTCATAAAATCTTCCAAATGTTCAGAGCTATTTAAGATGCGCTTAATTATAGAGGAACACAATTATTATATTTTCAGCTGGTTTAGCTCAATTAAGCCACCGCGTTTACACGAAGCCAGTTGGCGGGTAGGTTACTTCCTCAGGTAACTTAGAGTCAAGTAACCTGTTTGCTCTACTGGTCTCGTTTGAACGCGGCTTTACATTAAACAGTCTACTGAGAATTCAAACGATTGATAAGTTTCTGTTTCCAGAACAAGGTCAGCTAAGTCAATGGAGCTAGACTTTATCCCGTCACCAGCCACTCGCTACCTTCAGATATTCTCTCCTGCTCTGACATTGTGTCAGACGATTCTCTCTTCCCTCGGAGTTCACAACCAGTCAGCTGTAGCTCAGGTAATTTTTATCAGATGAGAAGAATATCAAATCTATATGAAATGTGTAAGTAAGATGTAACGAGTATGAACTGGGCGTGAAAGCCATCAAAGAATATGTTTTTATTTTGTATCTACTACTCAATATCAAATCATCAATCCTAATAGTTTTCTTAGTAAAATTTTATTCTGTTACTCAGATTTCTGTCGGGTAGATTTCTATTTTGTGTAGATGTACGTGCAGGTTGGCTTAAATTTGGTTGGGATATCTGAATCTGACCTGAGTCCAAATTTAATCCAGGACTATCTGTTGAACATCCAGATTTTTCTCATAAACTACATATTTTTGCCAACAAAGCTTCTTGTTTGTGGTCTTGACCAAAAACTTAGAAAAATTGTTTTGTTTGTGTTGTTCTGGAAATGTAATCAAGCAACCTTCATGTAATCAACAAACCTTTTTATAGTTAGTTGAAATTGTAAATTACTTTATCAACGAGGACCTGTGCACATATTGCACATTTAAACCAAGTTAAAACTCGTTTCCAAGACATAACAAATACAGTAATGCAACAGTAATGCCCTTCTACCTTTAGAGATTATGTTTGTTTAAGATAAATTATTAGGTAAAAAACCTACTGGTACTAAATTTCAGTAAATTATTTCTTTTTCATTGTAGATCCATACCATAAATAGTTATACCTACTGTAGGCCTACCTCTATCAGGTTACCATTATCACTAAAACATAACATGACTGTGGTGTGGTCCAAAATTCAACCGAAGCATCAGTACAAAATTCCTATTTAAAACCACTATAAAGAAGAAAGTTAGTTTTTGGAGGGAAAAAACAACTTGGCTTCAGAATTTGTTCAGGAGAAAGGAAGGATACACAACTCATCTGAATAAAGAGCCCCAGGAGGTTAATAGAACACAAAATCAAATCAATTTACTGACACAAATAAACGTTAAATTAGGTGCTATGCTTATAGCAGTAACTGGTGTCTCGTCAATTACATAAATCTCTATGACAATAGGAAAAACATTCATACATAAAACATAGAAGAATACAATAACATCAACACATAAAAAGTAACTCAATTTACTGAGATTTTGCCCCTTTCAGAGGCTTTATCAGAGGTACATTGCAGTTAAAGTTCTAAATATCAGTTAAATTGTGTTACAGTAGAACCTCAATAGTTCGACACTTAGTGGGCGTCGAATTATTGAAATGTTAAATTTTAATAATAAAAGTTCAAAGAAAGCTCATAAAACAAAATACTTCATAATCTTTGATTGTTTTTCTCTCTGATTTTTGACTCGGACTGTGTCGAATTATCAAGATTGTCTAAGTATCGAGTGTCGAAAAATGTAAGGTTTACTCTTCTTGAGTTAGTTGTGTCCTTCCTTCCTCCTTAACAAAGAAGAAAGTTAAAGGAGGGTAGGCCATAGAACATGTAGAAAATACACTGTGCACACAATATTTCGTCCCCTGAGGGACTTTGTCAAGTGTAGAGAAAGAGTTTACAAATTACAAAAATTACAAAAAATCTTTTTTCGACAATTCAAAATCCTGGCCTAGAGCCTTTCCTTGAACAAAAAGTAGGAAATTACCTTTTTAGTTGCAGTTTGTCTCTCCGCTACATCATAAGCTTTAAAATTTCATCTCAATCATAAAGATTTATTATGTAGAAGGACTGGAAAAGGAATGTAATAGGTTAAACAGTTATTTTGGTAACTGTTAAGCATATAGATTAATTGTACATTTTGACTGTCACAGGTGATACATTTCCTCATGAGTCACAGTGACACGGTGAACCAAGTGTTGCGTTGTGGCAGTCCCTTCCTGCAGCCCAACTTTCTGCATGAGTTGCAACAGCTGACTGCAGTCATTGCCAGAGCTACCAACCAGGGTGAGTGCAAAGTGCTGTAATGTTGTGTTGTTTTTACTCCTTACATAGATACATACCGGAGTTTAACCTAAAGGTGTCAGGATAGGCTGGATAAAAGCACATTACACTGCAAGACTACAGGTTTACCTGAAAGGGAAAAGTCCACTCTAGTACATGAAAAACAAACTTTACACTACACAAGAAAGTTAAAATATTTCAATCTTACCACCCAGTGTTTAAGGAATTTTAATCCAAAGAATGTTAGATATCTCTTTCGAGCCTAAGCTTTTCTTAATGAGCTTAAATTACAGAATTCTTTTTCAAATAGTCACCCTCAGGTCTCAGAATCTCGAAATTGGTTGACCATTCTGTTTAGTGGCTGTAAAATTCTGGCTGTGTTTTACTGCTGTACTTCTGATATTCAAATATTGTGTGAGTGTTGATGCAAATTTTCTTAATCACTAAGGTCACTCATACTTCAGACAGTACTTGTTAAATAAAATAAATAAATAACATCTTTACTATCCAGCGACATCAGATCAAAAATCTGTTTTACATTAAAACTTTTGTCAACTATAACTACTAATAAAAGTAAAGTAAAATACAAGTTCCTTAGAAAATAAAAGTACAGAAAAATATCTTTAACATTCTTTTTTTAAGGCTTTGTAACTTTTTTGTTTCACTCCTGCTGGCAAGGCATTGTAAACAAGGGGGTCCAAAGTAGGAAAAGGCATTTTTTCCCATCTCGGTTCTGACCCATGGTAACTGCAGCTGGCCTTCCTGGCGAGTACTGCGCTCACAAACTTTAGATCGCTGTAGCAATTTATTTTTCAGATATCAAGGCTGGTTTGTCAACGGCGTCTTATGAACTATGATTGAAGTTTGAAGGTCAGAGATTTGCTTAATGGACAGCGTATTTGACTATGATCTAAATTCACTGATATGGTTGAATTTATTCAAATTATAAACACTCCTTAGAGCATTATTCTGAAGTCTTGTCAGAATTCTGACAATGTCCTTTGTTAAACAATCAGAAAAAAAGGGAGGCAATAATGAATGGATGGATAAATCACTGCTTGTACAGGGTGGCACAAAGAAACCGGACGTTTTTTAAACAGCTGTTCCATTGTTGTCGCACGTGGTAGGAAGATTGAGGTTATGTCATTACCTTCAGTGAGGCTTGCCATTTTTGTTGAAATGGCTCAGTGGACCCTAGACCATCGCGTTTTCGTATATGATACTTTTGTCCAAAATGGTGAATCTGTCGTCAAAACCCAGCGGGAATTTCGTCAACATTTTAATATTGAACTCCATGGAACGGTTCCAAGCCGAAATACGCTATTAAGATGGGTTTCAGGGTTCCGAACAACTGGGAATATAACAAGAAAGAACCCACCAGGCCTTGTTAGAACTTTGTGAACATCCGAAAACATCACCAGAGTGAGAGCAGCATTGGAGCATAAGAAGTACAAGGGCCGTATTTTTTCGAGGAAAATGGTGTAACAGTGACAGTGAGCTCTCAATGCTATGTTCACATGTTGAACACATTTCTTTGTCAAGAACTTTGCAGACGTCAAATAAACCGAAAAAGGGTTTATTTTTTACAGGACGGTGCTACAGCCCACACTGCAGACCAATCAATGAGAGTCTTGAGGCAAATGTTTCCTAACAAGGTGATTTCTCGCTTTGGTGACATACCGTGGCCGTCAACAAGGACAGCTGTGATTACTTCCTTTGGGGATTTCTTAAGGAGCGTGTTTATGCTCACAAACCACGCACTCTAGAGGTTTTGAAGTTGACAATCACAGAAGAAATCAATGGCATTGAACAAGACCTGACCCGAGTTTCAGATGATTTTCAGACCAGAATGAACATTCTAGAGAAGTACATGGTCGCCATATAGCATATAGCATATATTTATACATTTATTTACTCAAAGACTGAATACGAGATGTATTAACCAACATTTTGACCTATCTATGCATTTCATATGTAAAAAATGATGAATAAATGTCTTATGTCTTATGTCTTATATGCGTGACGTCATTTTCAAAAAATGACTTTTTGGCAAAAAATGGCAAATGTTTACCTTACTATGTACAGTATTAAAAACCATTTTATTCCTTTTAACTGCTGTGTACTACTTATTTAAAAAACGTCCGGTTCCTTTGTGTCACCCTGTACTATTTGAAGTTCAGCTGAAGATGGCAGTAAAGACCTGTGCAACGGTCTCAGCTAGCCAACAGCAACCTGACAGATACGACTCACCTGCTTAGAAAATTTAAGAGAATCGTTTTAAAAAATTGTTCTCACCAACACAGCTTATCCAGTTTGCAGCATCCTTCTCATGCCCCAAATTTCTAATATCCCTTCTAGCCTGGTCTCGCCAAAGCTTTGAGCCTCCAGTTTGTAAGCCTTCAGGAACATTACATGTGTCCTCTTCTTTTCTGCTGTGTAGCGTCTGGTTTTTAATCCCTCCAACTATACCTGCATTTATAGGTTTTGTATTTCATAATTACATTAGTAATAGTGTTGATATAGTTTATAAATATTAAGATATTGTTATTTAGTCTATTGTGCTGTTTTCATTGTTTGTTGGTTCTCCTTACACAGAGAATTGTGTTAATTTTTGACAAATCTTTAGTTTAATGTTATTTTATTTTGTTTAAATGTCAATAACACGCTGGTGCAGAAAAGTCAGGGGTTTTTCACCTAATACCATGCATGTACCAATTTTTTTTTGTAACTAAAATTGATTTATTGATTGTTAGAGAAAGAAATACTCTTTTACAGAGGTAGTGCGCCAGATGACTGACGAGAGCGTACAGAAAGGCCACCTGTTGGAGGGCAACCTCTACTTCGGAAAGACACAGAATCTGATGTTGGGACTGCTCAGTAGGTTCGTCCTATCAGAAGCCACTCTAAAGGACCTCACCAGCTCTGTAGACCCTGACCGCAACAACCCTCAAGCCAGGGCAGAGGTGGTGCTTACGTTTTTGCAGGTAACACCATCTTTAATTCTACGCAAATTACATTTTATGAATTATTTGTTAGGTCCAGACCCTGGTATCATTACTATTTAATATTAGTCTTTTGTCAGTTTAGTTGGTTGCCCTACGACAAATGGTATCTGGATCCAGTAATTAAGTAGCATTATGACTCGTTAGTTTGGAACTTGAGTAATAACCGCACAATAATGATGCTTTTTTCAACACAATCTCAGAATCCTGGGAGATTGGTAGTAAGTAGACTCCGTCCAAAATCTGTGATTTACCAGAACCTTTGACTTGTACAATATTAATACACATCCAACAATATTATTAGATAAGATAAATCTAAAAGGTTTCAGGTCTAGGTGGACGGCAACAAGTAGTTCTACACTGGACTTTTTTGAACTAGTCATGTCCGATCTATCTTTGCTGTTCACCACATAACGGAGATATATAGTGTATTATACATGCTTTGAAAGTTCTAGATAGTTTAAACTAGTACTAATATAAAAGAGTGTCTTAAATAATATGCTCTATAGCATTAGTATAACAAAACGCCTCTCCTGACTCAAACATATTTTTTTTGTTCAGATTGCAGGGAACTTGGCCATGTACGCTCGTAACCTTGTGTCTAGCAGTGGCCTGGATAAGCCTCCTACATCGGCCATCTTAAAACCCTCCCTTCTGGAACCCAACGTACTGGACAAGAAAGGTAGGATTTGAATTCAGAACAATGAAGCTAGAACTATATATTCTATAACTTAAGGTATAGTGTCTACATACTAAGTTGCTAACCTAGAATTAGTTTGGACCTTTTCCACTAGTATATCTTGGCCACAACATCCCTCTCTGAATGTTCCACTATTATATCGCAGCCACCGCGACATCAGTGTTACTTTTTCCAAACCAAGTTTTTGTATGTAGAACATGCATGTAATTGTCATAAACAATGCCTCAAACATTATCAGTATCATTAGAATTTAATCTTGATGTTTTTGGTTGTAATAAAAAACAACAAAATAATGATTAAGTCAGCTGTTAACTATTATTTTTGGTGTTTAGAAGTGTCCCAGAGCAGTCTAGGAGTTGTTGTACAACAGATGGTACAATGTGTCAGTCACTTCCACAGGGAGAAGGTATCGCTAGACCTGTTGGTGCGCAAGTACCAGTCCATCCCTGATCTTAACTCTACCACTGTCAAAGAGGTTAGTTGCGTCTTTCACAAATTTAACTTCTTAGTTTCTTGTAGACTAGGGATGGAAGAAGTGATAGAACTAGGTGACAATGCTTACAACTTTCTGTCTACTTACCAGTTGTTTTCTCTGTTAATGCGTCAAATTACCTCATACCCTGGAAAGTAGTGGGTTGAACAGTTTTTGGCCACTTGGACGCATATAACTAGATCCAATTGAATCTCCATTTTAGCCTGATTATGTCTGCAGTGACTGGTTGAAATTGATCACCATTGTAACAGCTTTAAATATGGATTCACCATGTTGTAAATGTTAACAGTATGGGTGTACAACTATGTGGTGAAAAAATGTTACTGAGAATTAGATTTGGAAAATTAGCAATAGGTCAGGGCAATTAAATGAGAAATTGTTGTGAACCTTTACTAAGTATATGTGCTTAGATGAATAGTTTATCAAGACACTATTCACAATATTCAATTATTTACAGCACACTTTAAAGGTATTCAGGGTAAAATGTGTCACTTATAGGGGGAGTTTTTGGCCATATCTAGTGGATATGACTCAGCATACAAAAATATTTTTAACCTGTGTGTCCAGCCAGATTTGGATTTTAATTTAATTTCATATTTGAAAATTCTTAAATTTTATCATAAAATTATTAATGTTTGGTGTAATGACGATATGTGATGATTGATGATACAAAAATGTTAAAAATATATAGGCTAAAGGATACTGTATCGTGATTTTCATAAAAATACTGCAGTCACAAAATGCTCCATTTTACACAAAAATATTTGCATGTGGAGCAGTATTTGCTCTAACATGCAATTGTTACATTTGATTTAATGTACGAATTTCCAATTGTGTTGATAGTTTCTACCAGAAGGGTACAACCGTTTGAGTTCACTGGATGAGTCCAAACAAGTTGTGAACCAGCTGATGCTCAAGGAGGTACAAGACAAGAAGTCAGAGTTGGAGATGTGCGAGTTCGTCATAGAGAACAGTCTCTACTTGTTGTGGGCTCATCTGGACGTCTACATGCTGCAGTCAATACCCACCAAGACACTGATGGGCATTAAAGGTAACAGATCTACTAGAAAAGTATTTACCTAGGGTGACAATTAAGTCCTAGGACGACTTTATAACTTTAAATTGAAAAGAGTTATCGCAACCAAATTTGGCATATCATTACTGGTAATAGCAAGCTAGTTTTTTTGTGTACATGGTGATCCGATCTCACGTATGGGGGACGGCCTACAGGGAGTTAGATGAAAATCTTTAAGGTAAGCATTGGGATATATGTACATTAAATAAAGGTTTCGTTTAAGCTAAAAATAATGCCGAAAGCCAGACCTCAAATGGACAATCTAATAAAAAATACCCCTGCCGCAGCAAACCTGCCGACTAAGCGAATTTCCATTTGTCTGAATTGATTTTCAGTTAAATATATTTTAATAACATTAGGTTTAACGAGTACCTAGGTTTGCTGCTACAAGGAAACTAATTAAGTGTGTTTTTGAGTAAAATATTGATAGCTTAGTACAAAATAAATAAATTTGCCAAGTTTGATCAAAATATATCCATAAACAAGCAAACTACAACATTTGACAATATTCTCCATAAGAATAACATGGGAATTTTAAATTTACTATTTTTTTAATTTTCTCCGTTACTAATAATCAAACAAAAATACTTTTATATACTAAATTATTTGTTTTTTTTAAGCTCTTTAAAAAGGTCTAACTCTAAAGAGAAATCGGGAATTTTTTTATTTTGAGGGTCAAAAGTGAGAAAAACCAATGTTTACCCCATAAAACCCCCCGTAAAGCCCCGTTCCCATGGTCCGATCGTGCTAGTTCGGGAACTCATTCAAGTTTATCCCGCTTTACACCTTTAAACCATATTTCATCAAAATCGGACAAAAATTACTCAAGTTATCGCGTTCACGGACGTATATATATATATATATATATATATATAAGTATATATATACATATATACAAATTTGAGCGAATGGTGTTTTTGGCCTCTGGGGAAATCAAAATCAAAAAGTAAATCAGTTCCGGGTCTAGGTCTTACCGTGCCACCTACGGTAATAGCTACTTCCCTATAGGGAAATTCGCTAAAAGACAAAAAGCCCTGGTTAATCCCAGTTATTATGGATTTTGTGTTTTCTGTTGGCAATATGATGATAATCTGTTGTTCATAGATTCATTTAATTTGCTAGGCAACCTAATACCCAACTTCCTCAGGTGGGCCCACTAGAAGACGGAAGAAAACCATACATGTAAGCATAGGTCAATATGCACATCAAATTAAAGGTCTTGATTAGTAGAATACAATGCTGTAAATTTGAACTCAAAAGGACAACTGAGTAAAAATAGCAGCCTTTTAAAGATTCAAAATGGCAGATTCGAGAAATATTTGAAGGGTTGCCATTTTTGACTCGGTTGTCCATTTGTGGTCCGGTTTACTGCATTGTTTTTAGTTAAAGACATTTAATTTTATGTACATATCAACCTACGATCAAACTCAGAAGATCCAAACCCATCTACATCTTTCCATGAAGAAAATATTAAGGACGGTGACCAAGGGAAATACAAAGACAATTTTCAAACACAACCATTACTATATAGCGAACCTAATCATCACGTAAATAAACGGGCCATAATGCTCCTTTGGCATGACTTCATCATAGGCGACAGCAATGACGTAATGTTATTTTTAGCGAATTTCCCATATAGGGAATAAGCTACTGTATTACCGTAGTACTCATGGCAAGACCTGGACCCGGGATTTACATTTTCGTTTTGAGGTCCCCAATAATTGCCGTTTGTTCTCATTTTGCCTCGTCACGTCAAGAAAGAAATGGCGATCACTGGAAATAATCAAATAATAACTCCCACCTCTGTTCAGTGCTTTTATACACTCTCATAATTAATTGACTTAGTAGTCAACTAACTGTATCTGTTTATAACAAAGAACCACAACATATAATATATTACTGAAAATGCAATAATTTCTTAAGGGTTTTTAGAATGTGGGTGTAGTTTTGTTGCTCCCGAGCCTCAGTCTTTGGTTGGTTGCAGCACAAAAGCCTATGAATCCCAGAGAGAATAGTTGGGGAGTCTCTATGGAGGACCTTAACAAACTGAAGCAAGGACTTGTGTCAGTCTTCAATGATACCTTCTGCAAAAACCTCATCACTGTGTCACAGGTAACACTGATGAATCGCTACTATGTTGAAGAGTGACCCTTTTAGTATATAGGTTATAAGTTAATTGTTTGGTTTTCTATTATTGACATTGTTTGGCTCACTAGAAACAAGGTTATGCTCTGAATCACTTACATTTAACCCTCTAAGTTTCAATGATAAACACATCAACAATCTTGAGTAACGTAAGGAACCTTGATACGAAGTGTCATTTTCAAATACCTTTAATTTTACTCTACCCCTAATTGAGCGTAGCTCTTTGGGATCAACTTCAATGCAACAAATAAAGCAACATCACTCAATAACGGCAGAACACATTTCAGCTAAACTTAACAAGATTACTTAGACTAATAGTGAGATGGTTAATACACAAACAAATTTCAATTAGATAATGCTAATGCAATTTAAAACAAACTTAAAATTTCCAAATTTTAACATTAGGCTTATGGGACTAAAGTAGCCATATGACAGTTTTTTGTTTACAAGAAAAATGTAAACAAGAGAATCATAAGGTATTTCTGAACTTTCTAGACTTTCCTTTTAAACATTTTTAAACCATGAACCTATTTGTGTTGCCAGCTGATTAGAAACAGCCAATGTTAGAAATCAGGATTTAATAAGCGATATATTGAACCGAATCGAAATCGATATTTAATCCTATAATACATCACAGGTTATATTATGTTGAATTACATCGACGGTGCAGTAAGTTATTACACTTATTAATAAAACGCAGATTGAACACTGATCTAATTTAGGCATGTGGGGAAGGTAGGTCGGGGTTTATGAGTATTCGTGACTACATTAAGTGTTTTGAAGTAAGGTTAGATTAGGAAGGTAAAGTGTAGGTTATAGGTAATTGATCGAGTTGTTTATTTGTGTTGCACCAAATAAACTGATAATATTTTCCTGGTCAAAACGACCATAATGTACTTTTGGAAGAGGTATCTGAATAACAAGATGTAGTAAAAACAAATCTGAATTATTATAATCTTAAACAATAAAACCAGCATTAGTACATCTATTGACTTTTTTACATTTAGTTACTTATGCAAATATCAAATCACGTTTGTTCCGCTCAACTGGCTTTCACCTCTCTGAAAGCAACCCTAGTCATACATTACAATTGCAAACCTCTCAAGAAGCCAGCCTTCACTACAAGTATTGCAAGTATTGCCCCATAAGAGACTTGTTATCGAGGTTCTACTGTTAGTGAGCATAGCAAAACAAATATTCTGCTCTGTTCTACGGGGAAAATACTGTCATTACTTCTGTGGGTCTTGGTGTAAGGTGGTCCTTCCAATCCGTCCTTCTTCCCAGCCTACTCAGATATTTTCTGTTCCGCTCTTGCCACTCTACACACAATCATTCAACAATATTGTTTTGATTAAAGAGCAGTCTGCTTTACTTAGTAGTAGTACTAGTGGTATGGACTACTTAGTAGTAGTCCATACCATACTCCTGCTTCTTGCATCAGTCACAATGTTCTCCAATACCCTCAATTCTCCATCTTCAAAGGAAGGTCCTTAGTGTTTTATTTTTCATTACATGTTTTACTGCTTGTAAAGTTAATCAAAATCAAATCTAAATAAAGTGTAATTCCAAAAAAAAGTGAACAATAGAAAACATGAACATCTACTTCCAGTGTACCGAAAATACAAAAAAACTAAATATTGCACAAAAGTAAGTGTTTGACTAAACTGACTCCTACAACCGAGGAAATGTTGCCGCTCATATCGTACCCGAGGCCTAAGAATGTGATATGGTTAAAAGTAGAATCGAAGTTCTTGAAAATATGAATTTCAAGAACTAATATAATGCAAGTTAACACGTCCGCTACTGAGCGTCGCATGCGTCGCATATATGCGACGCCGCGGTCATTGCCACGGACCGAGGTATACATTTGAATTTTACACATAGACCGACTGTCACTTGGATAACAGTACACACAGACCACGGGCGAAAACCTGTAAAACAGTGATCATTTACATTGTAATACGCTACAATCGTGTTTGTAAATAAATTATTCTTGTTTATTTGCATTTTTTATAACCTTTTGTAATGTCGCACATTTGCGACGCCCGGTCTACAGCGAAGACAATAGTGAAAATTATCAGAGTTTTCTTGAAATAGACTAAACGTCGCATATATGCGACAGTTCATTTTTTTGTGTTTTAAGGTGAAAGTAAGTAAATAAATAAACAGATTATTCAAGAACAGTTTATAACTGAACAAATATAAAAGCTACATAGGATAATGCAGCATACATACTGCATACATACATACAGTGATGCAGAAAAGTAAAGACCAGTTTTTCCAACTATTATATGACGTCACCAATCATCATATCCACAGACCAAGCGACGCAGTTGTGCGTCAGACATCTCTGTAGACCACTGCAGGGAATTCAGTGCCTTCAAATAGACCACTACAAAGATATAAGCATTTTAATAACATTAGAACCCCGACGCAAATATGCGTCGGCAGTCTATTTTAATGTGACTAGCCGTCGCATATATGCGACGGCAGTCTATGGGTGGAATCCGGCCGTCGCATATGTGCGTCGCTGGTCCATGTGAATGGAAAATTTCGTACTATTGCAGTAGCGAACGTGTTAAGCATTTAAAATCTTTTTTACCAAGTATATTGCAATACCATATTGTTGAAATGTTTACTAAATTACAGATGAGTAGATGACTTAATTACCCAAAGCAAGTTGGATGGACAATATTACCTGGATTGTGATAGTTCAAGTAATTACAGTCCACTCTTGGTAATTCAAACACTTGATAATTCAAAACTTTCAATAATTCAAAATGAAGGCTCAGTCCCTAGAGAATCTCTCAATATTTCACATTTTTACCATGCATTTTGATACACTCGGTATTTCAAAGTCCAAATAGAGGGCAGGTCAATTTGTAACACGCAGTAATTCGAAGTTTCGTCGAAAAACACTCTATAAATCAAAGTCACGCAGTAATTCGAAGTTTAGTCGGCAAAACACTCTATAATTCGAAGTGATCTCTTCCTGTTATAACAGGAAACTATACAGTACAGTACATCCTGTTCCCATGGTAGGCTAGTATTAGACGTTTTGATGTTTGTTTAGTTAGAGCAGTAGTCTGAGTTAGTTCGCTGACTTGTTTTCTAAGTTGGCAATCCGGTCTCTAGATTGCGCGACATCTCCTTGAGCACAAACGTTGTTGTCGACAGCGGATAGTTCAGCTATTGGCGAAATATATAGCGCTAAATAACAGATTTCTTTGCAACTACAGTAACTGAAAAATATGCCGTTGATTGTTTAAAAGTGTACTAAAATACTGTATGATGTTTTATTGTAACGTGCTGTACCTTTGTATGTATTAAACAAATGAACTCTCTGTAATCGAATGGTTTATTTTTCTCCCGATAAATCGAACTCTTGATAATTCAAAACTCTTGATAATTCAAATTTATATGCTTGGCCCACCAATTTCGAATTATCAAGAGCCTACTGTATGTGGATGAATAAGTGTATTATTTTGTGTTTTTACTAACTGGTAATTTATCTTGTTGTTCCAGGAATTGAGTACAGGAGACCGAGGTTATGTCGAGGCTCTTGTCAGAAGAATAAAGAAACTCATCCAGTTTGTCCCCAGCAAATGAATGTCTCATTAATGTGTATTTTGTAGGTATAATAAATTTCCATTTTTGTTAATTTATATTTTTGGATCTTGTTTAACAAATTTCCCTAAAGGGGTTTAACCATTATACCTCAGTCCCCATGATAAGGCCTAAATTAGGGATCCTAGACGTCCTCATTTCTCTGGACACGTCCTCTTTTTAGGGAAATAAATGTCCAATGGAAATCATTATAATATCCGGGATTTTTACTTTTTCAGGAAAATTAAAAACTATTTCTGCACATATAGTATTGTTAGTAATTGGCTTTAACTATTAAATTCCCAGAATGAGAATGAGGATGAAACTAAAATAATAATATCTTTGTAATATCTTTTATGAGTATATGAGTTTTAGAAGTTTTGTTTCCTCTTTGGATCAAATTTTGTGTTTAACGCTGGAGACAGTTAATCGCTGGCAACATTAATCCAGCATGTCCATCTCTCTCGGCTCATAGCTCACACCCAGAACAGAGACTAGCTTGCTCAGACCTTGTCTGCTTTCTGATTACTTTTACGGTACACAATTACTTTGAAATACTTCTCTTACTTCTTGTTTTGTCCATCTTGAACATCCCTAAGCCCTCACCACTCAGACCAGAGACTAGCTTGCTCCTCGTTTGCTTTCTGATTAACTTTAAGCTATATGATTATATTGAAATACTTCTCTTACTTCTTGTTTTGTCCATCTTGAACATCCCTAAGCCCTCACCACTCAGACCAGAGACTAGCTTGCTCCTCATTTGCTTTCTGATTACTTTTACGGTACACGATTACTTTGAAATACTTCTCTTACTTCTTGTTTTGTCCATCTTGAACATCCCTAAGCCCGCACCACTCAGACCAGAGACTAGCTTGCTCCTCGTTTGCTTTCTGATTAACTTTAAGCTATATGATTTTATTGAAATACTTCTCTTACTTCTTGTTTTGTCCATCTTGAACCTCCCTAAGCCCTCACCACTCAGACCAGAGACTAGCTTGCTCCTTGTTTGCTTTCTGATTAACTTTAAGCTATATGATTTTATTGAAATACTTCTCTTACTTCTTGTTTTGTCCATCTTGAACCTCCCTAAGCCCTCACCACTCAGACCAGAGACTAGCTTGCTCCTCGTTTGCTTTCTGATTAACTTTAAGCTATATGATTTTATTGAAATACTTCTCTTACTTCTTGTGTTGTCCATCTTGAACATCCCTAAGCCCTCACCACTCAGACCAGAGACTAGCTTGCTCCTCGTTTGCTTTCTGATTAACTTTAAGCTATATGATTTTATTGAAATACTTCTCTTACTTCTTGTTTTGTCCATCTTGAACCTCCCTAAGCCCTCACCACTCAGACCAGAGACTAGCTTGCTCCTCGTTTGCTTTCTAATTAACTTTAAGCTATATGATTTTATTGAATTACTTCTCTTACTTCTTGTGTTGTCCATCTTGAACATCCATAAGCCCTCACTACTCAGACCAGAGACTAGCTTGCTCCTCGTTTGCTTTCTGATTAACTTTAAGCTATATGATTTTATTGAAATACTTCTGAAAAAGTGTATTTTGTGTTCAGATCCTGGTCACTACTGCAAACATTTTATCAGTACAGTTCAACTTTGTTCTGTGCTGGCTCAACCCTTGCTATGCTGGATACGATCCCTGCACAGGCAGTCTATGTGGACGGGCCAATGCAAGGTTAAAAGAGGCCGCCAACTGCTATTTAAAAAAAAGTTTGAAGTCTATGAATTGTACCCCTAAACTCAAAATGTGTTGTTTAAAGACTACAGTAGTGTTGCAAAGCTTATTTCTTGTGCTCAAACTAAAACCATTTGGTTTGAAATCAACAATAATAAATATAAATTTAGAAAGGGAAGGAAACCGAGCCATCAAGTTACTGGATTTCATCGATATTGCCAACAATATCCAAGATTTCTGAGCATGCAAAGCACTCCCGATTGGGAACCATTTGTAAAAATAATCAGTTAACGGTATTTGACAATGAACAGCATTGGCTTCAAGTCCGGAAAACCTGTAATAAATTTTGTTATTGATCTAGTTGAGGCTGTTTTTGATTTGTTATTGGAATTTTCATGGATCTCATCATTTGATAGTGTTTTGGATCTGACACTTATTTCAATACTACATTTCGGCATTACTAATAATTCACTAATTAGGTTAGTCATATTTCGAAAACAGGCAACAATATGTTGAACATTAAGTAATAGTCTTTGGTTGAACGAGTACAATTACAAAATTACATAAAATCAAATCATATCTAAAACAGGTTAAATATGGGGTACCTCAGGGTTCTATTCTTGGTTCTTTTTTATTCCTCTGTTATAGAAAAGGCCTTCCTTCAGCTCTAATTCACTTAAACAGTAAATTATGCCTCTATGCTGAAGATGGAAGATTTTGCAGACCCCTATAACATAAATTTTTTGATGCCCAATAAGAGACTTTAAAACCTCAATATAAAATTAAAATTGATAACAATTACCCAATAAGTCACTCACACAATATTCTTAGGACTAATAACTTATCAAAATTTATCTTTGTTATATCATTTTAATAAATTAAAAACTAAAAATCATTATGGTGTTTTTATGCAGCACAACTTATCTCTGCTTATTGGATGTTTTGCTGAAACTGGGTGATTGTTGAGTGAAAGTAAAATGTAGTCAATCCTGCATTTCCTCACTGGTCTAAACAACACTCTTTTCTTTTCCGATTAATCAGGAACTTGATTGTTTCCATCACTTCTGGTGAGCCAAAGAATTCCTGAAACATAAAAATTGTGACAAACTACTGTATTGACTATTATATTGGATACTGAAGTAGACATCCAAGGCCACGCTCAAGCATGACGTCACTCTAGAAGACGGCAATGACTTAATGTTTGCCGTTTGTGATCAGCTGCTTGTTTTAATCTTTCCTCGGAAAATAAATAAATACCCTCTGTCACAAAAATATCAAACATTACGTCATTGCCGTCTTCTATCGTGACGTCATGCTTGACGAGCATTACGGCCTGTTTTTTTTTTAATGTGGCCTTGAGACATCCCATCTCTATAGACCAGCTGTCAACAATTTTTTATCAAAAGAACATAGTTCTGTGAGCCAGTTAGTTACAGATTGTGCTAGTGTCTAAAATTCTATTATCTACCTGGGGATGAAATGTCTAGTTCAATCAATAACATTGATCTATATTATAATAACTAACCCCTTCCTAGTACATAAGTATGGATGGAAAAAAGTTAAAAGTCATTAAAACAGTAACTGAATTTTTATTTTATACAGTAGTTTCTAAAATTGGTCATAATACGATGCTAGTCTGATATCTTCATAGTTTTAAACTTAGTAAATTAGCACTTTGTACACTGAAATTTCGGTACCTGGGTATTATCCGGAGGCCACCTTTATACAGAGTGCTGCGGCGGTTATGTTACGTTGGGTTATCATAAATGGAAAGAACAGACTTTAATTGACTTACTGTCCATATTTGACATGATTACAATTAGCGGCCTTTGAGTTCTGCCTCCCAGAAGGCAGCGATGTCGGCGAGGATTGAGTTGAATGCGTCGCCGCCGATCAGATACAGGTGGTGACAGGTGATGCACGCGCTCCGGTCAACGACCTCACCTTGGCATACGGAGGGAATTTGGGGAGCAAAAGTATGACTCATATGGTATTGTTTGATCCATAATGAAACTAGGAAAATCCTACAAACATATTTATGACAACACAACCTAACATAACCGCTGTATAAGGGTGGCCTCGCCGGATAATATCAAAGTACTGAAATTTCTAACAGGATAGTTAGTAGTTACGATAAGGTTAAGTGGAAATGTTATCAATACAAATAATCATTTTAGACCTTTTCATGGGCGCCACCAATACGAGGGTTGGCTATATATAGCCTTCCCTGGAGCAGAGGTCATGGAAAAAACTGCTGTCATGTAGGAATATTCTGGGAAATATATGAGTGACCAAACTAGATTTTGTATACAAATTAAAATTAAAAAAAAAAAATGTTTAAAAAACTGCTGAAGATACCGGGGATTAGCCTAGTAGTCAAATCAACAAATTTGACCTACATACCAAATTTTATCAAATCCAGACCAAAATCAAAATACCCATCTAGTTACGGAACAAAAACTTTCAGAACAAAGTTTTCCCAACATTTACGGGACACTGAATCAACCATCATCAATTACTACTATGATGACCCAAATGACAGAAGTTTCTCTTGTCCATCCACAGTTAAAGTTACCAATGGATAAACTGTCTGGTTGTTGTAAAAATAAACAATATAGAATATTCCTATTACAGGCGATGACCCTTAAGCTCAATGTGCATCTGTTTATTCATCACAGTTCACCCTCAAATTATGGCTTTTGTATAGGCAAGATTGTTGATGACTTGCCAAAAGAATGTAACTTGAATCACCTTGCGTACTCCTTCAGATAATTATGTTGATTTTTGTAAGGAATATAAGATAAAAACATGCAGTTTTTTCCTAGTTTTCAAATAGGGTCCTAAAAGTATAGGTTTAGATTGCTTGGATTTAGCTACATTCTGAGTGGTATTATTAAGTGTCTTTATACCTTAAAAAAGCCCAAACCCCCCTCTGACTGGGCCCCCTGGAATGGTCCTCCCCTAACTTCTTCTCCAAATCCGTGCTTATGAACTACACAATGTTATGTACCCTATACACAGGGGATGTCAACCTAGGAGTGCCATATCCCTGGATTTCCCCGGAGATTACCAGATTTTGACCTTCAAAATTTAGCTCCGGGGAATTTCTGCAAAAAGTGAGAAATCTCCAATTTTTTTACTCTCTATTAAAATATATTGTATAACAGCACTTGAAATAAAATTAATGTTTGTGTTCGCAAATATTGTTATGAAATGACTGAAAAATGCATCTCTGTACTCTCTACGAACGTTATTTTATTCCTTAGTTTCCCTTTGGCCAGCAACGTACTTAGTTTATTGTATGTTTCATTGTTCCCAGACCTTCAAATCGCGTCTGCCGGCCCATCCGAAGTCCAAAGTTATCCATGTTCACTACCAAAGCTGAACCATGTCTAGCAGGCAGAGAGTGTTTTGTTTATGTTATTCGTTATTTTAAATGGGATGTGACAAGAAATATGCAAATTTTATGCTTTTGTGTACCATATTTGAATTTTGACAGTGTAGCGTGATTATTGAACAGAAACAGTATGGATTAATAAACATTAACAAATGACGTCACTGGCCTCAATGCCAATAGGCCTACTAGTAGAAGTAACAACTGGTTTGGATGGTTTTTGACAGTTCCATTTAAATATTAATAAAAACGTGTTTACTTTCGGACCAGTGACATAATTTTTGTATGTGTATGACCCATACCATTTCTGTTATAATATTTGTGCTATGAAGTCTAGGTATACAATTTTGAAAGTCTGTAAACTTTTATTTACTGAAGTGGGGGCCGCCAGCTGAAATCTCCTCTTTTTTATAAATCACCATATGGCAACCCTATGTCATCCTCTTGTTTAACTTGGGACAAAACCGATTCTATTACTACTAGGCCTACTAATACAAAATTGTGCCATACCTTTTGTTTCTCAAAAAGGATTTTTTCCAAAATCAGATTTTCAGGGGGGGTCACAGAGTCATCACCTGCTTCCATAGTTGTGGAATCACTTTTATTCTGTTCAAATTTGATCTTTTTAGATGATTTTTCAGTTTGACTATTTGTTCTTTTTTTAGGAATAGCTTTTGGGCAGTTTTTTACCTCGAGTTCTAATTCCTCCTGATTATTGCTTCCCTCCATGAACAGTTTTCAATAGAAATGCTACATTCCAGGTTTAAAAATTATTGAATCATTATCCGCAATCTTCTTATGACATCAAATGCTGAAACAGAAATAAAGTTCATTTGTTATTTTGTTCCATAAATGCACATTTAAACTGTATCAACCTAGTTCCAGTAACAAAATGCCTTACCTCAAAATTATGACTATTTTTTGACACTATGGATTAAATATGTAAAAGGCTCTAACTATATTTGTTTAAACCAGTCATGAGCCGAAGGGCACAGGAAAAAACTCTTGGAAATCTGAGAACATGTGGGAAAAATGGTTTAAGAAGATCAATCAGACTCTTGACTGTATAGCTAAAATCAAACGGAATATCATTTCGTTAATGATTGTCCTTATCAAGCCTTAGACCTACCAGGCAGTACTATTCTGATAATGAGACCAATTCATTAATACCTAGGCAAAAATGTGGTTCGGAGTCCACTATAAACTGTAAGTCCCTTAGTTGCCATTAGCTGTATGGGCTATTAATTAACAGCTGTGTCTAAGGAATATGTCGGCCTTAGTCACTAACAAGACTATGTATTGTATTGGCTTAGCCGTTGGCATGTATAAATAAAATAAAATAAGACTACAAGATCGCGCCACTCATCCTACACTCATCTTCATTCATACTTAGGTTAAAATACCTACTTTGTATGGTCGCCACTTCAATAAACAGTATTAAAGTATTAAGTATTACAATGGTTAGTATTACAAAATTCAGACTACCCTCCCCCCCCCCCCCACCAAAAGGTTCCTAAGTCATATTGACGTCAGAGATCGGGGGGGGGGGGGGGCAGCTTCCCAGTCACCATAGATCTCTATATAATCCAACTGGATCAGTGGATCGCGTGCTGAGCGTTGGGATTTCGAGTCCATCAATAGACCCTGATCCACGGCTGCTATGCATTCATACTAGCAACACAAAATCAACTGAGTGGCAAAGCCATATTACTTTCTGTTGAATATTGCAACCCAACTCATCTAGTCTGGATTAGTGATGGACCATCATATGTTTTTATATTTTACATATGCAGTTGTTTACTAAATATAATTCAGTGTTGTGTTGGAATGGGCACACGGGAGGGACCAAGGCTAAAGGTGTAGTGACGTCATATCTCTAGTGGCTAATGTCGTCTACTCTTGAGGCAACACGATTACCGTAACGAAACGATGTGTTTTCAGCGGCGTTCGTGGCATAAATAGTAGCGTTTCGATTTGGTGTCCAGGAGGTCCTGGGTTCGAATCCCGCTGGTAGCACAACATTTTTTGTCAACAAAATTTTCATATCAGCAAGTTTGGTTGGTTAGGTTAGGTTATGACAGTTAAATTTTATAATACTAAATTTTAAAATTAATTTTATAATTAATTAAAAACTAGGGGAAACCCGTCGAAATCGACGGTTACTCTTTTATGTAACTTCAGCTAACTGCGATGATAGAGTGAAAATCGTAGTTAAACTAAGGGAGGATAAGCATAATAATGAATACCGGTATGAGATTGTGTAACTACCTTCAACGTGGTTGGCTTTAGGTTGCCCAAAAGGTTTTTTAGGAGTCTTATAATTTGTTTCGTGTTCATAAGTTTTTTTCATGTTAAAGCCACTTTCACTATATGGGAAAAGAAATTCATATAAGTGAGCTGTCATCCTACGGGAAGAATCTATATTACTAATAACTGGTTACATCTGCTTTAGGAAAATCATTCAGACCGTATTTCGATTGCATAAGTGAATCACCATCTTTGGTCATAGAAATACAGAATTTCATCAGCATATTAAATCAGTTTTTTTGTATTTGATAAAAATATCTGATTCTCCAGATGGCAGAAATATTCTTACTTCGATCCAAGCAATTTTGATTCCTTCTCTTGCCACGTCAACCAATGTATTTAATCATCCTGTACTTATTTACTAATTGATCAACTTCTGGCGTAGTTTTGCCTTGGCCGTATCAATCACATAATGTTGTGCATGTATTTTGTGTATGGGATGTACATGTACCATAATGTACCAAATCTTGAACATTTGCTGAACCACATCCATAACCTAGTCTGGCTTGGTTGGCAACAAATTATGCAAATTAGATGAGATGTGAGAGAGAGAAAAGAATTTATTTATAAAAATAAATACCTCTGCCTTAAAAAAATAAGGTTGCCAATGACACAGAAAAATAGTACACATAAAATATCGAAGGATTATACAGCTATAAGACTGATTAATTTTGATGTTTGCCATATAGATGATTTCTCATTATGGTCAACTTAATGATTTATGAATAATAATTTTCAAAAAGGATCTGTCCAAATCATATTGTTTCCAAAAGTTCACAAAAATTTTGATAATGTTCCTCTAGAACCAATAAACAATCCAATCACCTCAATTTTTGAAATTTGGAAATTTTGCTTGAAATACTCAAAGGTAGAATCATAAATTATTTTCTTTTCTGTTTAAATTTTTTGTACTGTTGTATTTCCAAATGTTTTGTATGTAGTGAGGTTTAGATGCATTGTTCGATCTAGCTAGATGTACATCAAAGTAAAAACCCTTCCCCCTTTTAGCGAATTTCCCTTTAGGGAAGTAGCTATTACCGTAGGTGGCACGGTAAGACCTAGACCCGGGACCGATTTACTTTTTCATTTTGATGTCCCCAGAGGCCAAAAACACCATTCGTTCAAATTTTATATATGTATATATATATATATATATAGATTTATATATATATACGTCCGTGAACGCGATAACTTGAGTAATTTTTGTCCGATTTTGATGAAATTTGGTTGAAAGGTGTAAAGCGGGATAAACTTGAATGAGTTCGCGAACCAGCATGATCGGACCATGGGAACGGGGGCTTTACGGGGGGTTTTATGGGGTAAAAATTGGTTTTTCTCACTTTTGACCCTCAAAACACAAAATTTCCCAATTTCTCTTTAGACCTTTTTTAAGAGCTTAAAAAAACAAATAATTTAGTATATAAAAGTATTTTTGTTCGGTTATTAGTAACGGAGAAAATTAAAAAAGTTGTAAATTTAAAATTCCCATGTTATTCTTATGGACAATATTGTCAAATGTTGTAGTTTGCTTGTTTATGGATATATTTTTTATCAAACTTGGCAAATTTATTTATTTTGTACTAAGCTATCAATATTTTACTCAAAAACACACTTTATTAGTTTCCTTGTAGCAGCAAACCTAGGTACTCATTAAACCTAATGTTATTAAAATATATTTAACTGAAAATCAATTCAGACAAATGGAAATTCGCGTAGTCGGCAGGTTTGCTGCGGCGGGGGTATTTTTAATACCTGAACTGCCATTAATACTGCACCAAACCATAGATTAAACCTACTCCGTGCTTAGTCTATTTCTAAACTTGGAACACAGCTCACATCCTCAACGTACTCATCTACAAATGATTATTGAAAGTAGGCCAAAATAGGCAAGTGAAAACCCCTAAAATAAATATAAGCCAACCCGATAAGGAATATTTATCTGCTCTGTTGAAATTGATAAGTCCAACTAATTTTATAATATAAAATTTTTGTAAGGGCATTTTAAAGCATAGATTTTTAACAAAAAATTTAAAACATATCATAAATTCATCATTTTGTTCAAACTATAAAAAGCTTGCCATGCAGTGAAGAATCAATTTTAAATCATAAATAATAATGTAAACATTTAATTTTGACAGTTTCAGTAAATGCCCATAACACTTGACCTTTGAAATACAATTTGTAAATAAACAGCTGGTTCATTAAAAGTAGTGTAAAATTATACATATGGTCATAATGTAAACAAATCTGCTAAGGGGACTTTAAAGGCCTCTGGGGCAGAGCTCCAAGGGAATTTACCATGTTTATCTTTTTGTGGCTCATCTACAGACCAATACCTTTCTTTAGAGACCCCTACCAAGTTTCTACGCCCAGCCGATCTCTGAAATTAGCTTTGACAAAAACCCGTTTTTCCTCCATAAGAATAACATGGGATGGGACTTTAAAGGCCTCTGGGGCAGATCCCGAAGGGAATTTACCTAGTTTCTCTTTTGATGGCTCATCTACAGACCAAGACCTTTCTTTAGACACCTCTACCGAGTTTCTACGCCCAGCCGTTCTCTCAAATTAGCTGTCACAAAGAAAAACAGTTTCAAATTAATATATAGATTATAAGTAATCATTAATTAGATTTTTATCTTATACAGTTATATATTATCAGCAAGTCTGGTTGGTTAGGTTATGTTATGACACTTTTATTTTAAAAATTAAAAATATATTTTATAATTTTAAAACAATATTTTATAATTAAAAAGTTAATTTTATAACTAAAAATATAAAAAAAATTAAATTTATTCAACTCAGCGGTTCTAGCGGCGAACGCTGACACTACAAGATATGTTAGCCTTAGTCCCTCCCGTGTGTCCCACCCGTGTTGTGTTGTGTTTGTAAGAAAATAAAAGAGTTTACAACAAACTTTCTTTCATTAACTTTAATTTCACCAACAAAAGTTATGGGCCATTTGGAATAATAAAATAATCATTTTACAGTATTCTGTGCTTAAAAATAAGTAAAATGAGTTTTGGCTATAGAATTGAACCTTTGAAACGAAATAATTATGACACTTGGAAAATTCAAGCTGAAGCTATATTAATCCAACAAAACCTAATGGAATAGGTATGTATCTGGGGAGAACAAATGTCCTGAGGATGAAGTTGCTAAGAATGCCTGGATAGTTAAAGATCTTAAAGCAAAATCAGAACTAATATTGATAATTTCCCCTAGTGAATTGAAATTAGTAAAAAATTGCAAAACTTCTAAAGAAGTATGGGATTGCCTGCAGAACAATTACCAAAGTTCTGGTCCTGCAAGGAAAGCCACATTATTAAAGCAGTTAATAGTTCATAAAATGAAAGATGGAGAAGATGCTAGGGATCATGTCAACAAATTTATGGAGATTGTTGACAAACTTCAAGAAATGGACATCATTATCAATTCAGACTTACTTAGCATTATGCTACTTTACAGCTTATCATCATCATTTGAAAATTTCCGGGTAGCAATTGA